AAAATAATGGGATAATGTAGAAAAACACAATACTCAGAGAATTAACCTCAGTTAGAGGTGAAGTGAGGAGAGTGGGAGGAAAAAGAAATTAGCGGAATTCACTGGCTGCATAATTAGATGAGCATGGTCTCTGAACTTTAACACGTTATACATTTCCAGAGCTTAAAAAAAGCAAAATAAACAAAACAGAGTTATGTAATTTTAAGAAGAGAACAAAAGGTAAAGGTACACATGATACAAACAGGGATATTAATAGTCATAGATTGACCATGACGCTGCATATGGAGAAGTGATGAGGGAGGAGCAGATGGCTATTTTTTCTGAACGCCGAGCATGCCGGATAAATTCAGCACAGATTAACCTGTGCTAGAAAGGAAGTTGGACACAGACACAAAATAAAACATCTGGCTTCTTTTCAAAATAAAACACTCTGTGTTTCAGGTGGATCGTATTTTACACGATGCAAACGGGCGGGGACGAACAAGTAAAAGGGTTATAGACAGCATTTCATCCCAATGACACCATGGACGAGTGGGTGCTCATTTTATAAATCTAGATGTAGATTTCCTCCTCTGAAGGGACACAATCTACTACGTATTTGGTTAGCCTTTGTGGCTAAAGACAACTTGTTATCGCGTGATTGCAAGTGAATTCGCGGGTTCCTGTGAGTTCCTGCTGCCCATAATCCCCCACAAAATTCGCCTCACAAATGGATCCAGTAGGAATTGGCGTACGGTGAAAATCGCCACTGTTATGGATTGGAGCTGTTCTGGATGCCGTGGAAATCCGGGACAAGAAGTCTTGGGACACCAAGGGGTTAAATTTAGATGTGACCAAACAGTCTGTGTAAAGCACTGAGTGTGCAGATGGTAATGCAAACATTATTTTTATAAGCTAAATATGATACAAGAGTCGTGTAAATCAGCGTTCTTGGTTCTGTGCATGTAGTTTACAATTGTCCATGCTCTACAGCTACATGCACAGAGGTTTCATCAAATGTGAGCATGGGTTTGTAAGTTGTGGTCATGGATTTGGACAGGACTGGCTTGAAGGACTGCATATTTTGATACATCTGAGTTGACTTAATTTTCACCCCAAGGTTTCAGCTTAAGCGAGCCAGTAAGTGTTTAGAGTGAGCATATTCCAGAAATGGTATCTAACACTTCTTATTTTATTCAAACTCAAACAGCCCTACAGTATTTGCTCATAGTGGGCACAGTGTAATTAACACTTACTTATCTCACAGTGCTGAGAAGAATCAGGAAAAAGTCCACAGTGTCTGGAGGCACAGGGTGTCTATTCAAATTAAATTAAATCCATAATCATTCTCATCTTCAACCAAAGTGCTGCTTTCACCGCTGAAGGGTCTGCTTGCACTTATTCAGAAAGATCAGAACCAGTTGGACGGACATGCCGAGAGAGTCCAACTGGGATTACAAGTTTTAAAGTTGCTGTAATGCTTCTTACACTCTTAATATTATCCAGATATTCGCAGAGTTTTTAATCACAAGCTATGAAACAACTTATATTTGCTTGGATTATGTAAAAAAAAAAAAAGGTAATACGACTAAAAACTTTGGTGTTTCATCAATACATGAGAAATGCAAGCATAATACCGACAACTGTAAGTGAGTCTGACACACAGATACTTTCATTTTATCCTCAGTCAGCTTCAAATTAAACTCTGTGTGTCATGAGATAAAGACAAGTTATCGAACCAGACTTTAACTTAAATGGTTTCTCCTTCTTGCTGAGACATCTTCACTGGATGCTTGGAGAAATTTCATGGCAAAATTCTGTTAAAATATCTGTCTCATGCAGCTAGATCTAGCAAAATAGTTGATTTACCTACTTTTACAAGGAGACAAAGTAAAGGTTTGTGTTTCCGTTGCCCCATTTTAAGATAGTCTTATTTCTCTGGTGACACCCAGACAGACAGTCCAGAGAAACAGTCTGGAGAAACTCAGAAGCCGATCCTTGGAACAGAAAAAAAACAAGAACGCACATTAATGCAAAAAGAAACTGAAAATAAGAGAAACTCAGAAGCAGATCTTCTTAAACACTGGAGTTTCTTGCTGCACAAATTATCATATAAATGCGAAAATGTAATTTTCCTTCATGCTTTAAGAGTTCATGCTTGAGTTCATATTAATAAATTACATGTAATATGCGAAACAATTACTGTATGTTGACACAGGATTATCTGCAAATGAATGCACTGATTAACTTAATTATTAAGCACATTAACATAAGTGCTTATCTTTTATATTATGAGGACGGGATGCTATTAGGAAGCTGGAGAGCCTCCTGGGGCTCCGTGTGATTACTGTCTCCTCCCAGAAAGGCAGTCCTGAGTTTGAACCCTCGAGAAGCTGTACTGTAAGTGTAGTGACGATGTGGTATCTTCAGCCCTGAAACAAAGTTATTGGTGATTTTAAAAGTTTCACTCCAGAAGCAGGTATTTTATATTTCTGCTGATCAGTCTCAAATGCACACAGTTAAGTTTTTGAATAGTCCAAAAGTCCAACATAACAATTAAAACAGTAACATGAAAAGGCAGAGTAGTTTGTAATCTTGTTTTTAAAGCTGCTGTTATGGCCTGTGCTGGTTCTGCTGCCCCTTAAGGTCACACTGGGATCGTTTTTTTTGTGCGATTATTTCGGATGTCAATATTGTTTTTCGAACCCGTATCCTGTCAATACAAGCGTTCACATCAGCAATGTTTTCTCGTCCTGCAATACTGCGGCATTTATTTTTTCGCATTACGGTTGATTTTTCTAAAGATTCGCATACTATTTGTCCACTTCTGACCAATCAGATTGCGTGTTGTTGTGACATCAGATTCACCGGTATATCCAACATGGCCAACCGGCTGATCCTTTGTGTGTCAGAGAACAGAGTGCTTTTTAATAAAAGACACAAACATTACAAAGATAACGACCTGAAGGACAACTTGTGGAGAGTCATAGTGTCGGATTTCTCATATGACGATGGTTTGTGTGCTTTAACAGTTTGCTAAACGTCTTTGTTTTAACTTTCATCTGTGCTAAGTAACTTTAGCTCGTAAGCTAACCTGTTCAGATACAACATACCATATGTATTTTTACTAAACTCAATCGCGTTGCTGTCACAGCACCATTAGGTCTCGGTTGTTGTTTATGGATTTTATGTTTCTGTATTATAGTTTAATGTGCTTATCTGGTACTGGCCCTGACTCAGTACATGCTATCATGACAGACAGCCATCTCAACACTAGTGTCTAATCAGAACTGAAAAACACTCAGTCTGGTGTTGTGTCAGTCTTCTCGCTTCCACCCGCGACGCGTCTTTTTTTCTCCCCGGAAAGACGCAAAATTGCATCGCGCTTGATGTGTATAGACAGGCGCGTCAAAATTCGCCACTGAATATTTTGTAATTTCACGTCGTATTTTTGGGTCGTTCCCGGTGTGTAAGGACCTTTGTGGTTAAAGTTATACCTCTTATCTATTCTCCTGTATATGTGAAAGTAATATTTCAGGTAAAAAAAATCATCCCTCTTTCTTTCACAAGTAAATTCATTTACTAACTTTAGTATTTGCCATGGAAATTAAAAAAAAAACAAAAAACTGTATCTTCAGTCTGCTGCCAATCATCTGGTCTGACACCTACCCTGTCCAAGCGGTTTTAGGCATTAAAAATTTGAACAGAGGAATTAGACTATGAGACAAACCCCTCCCAGTGCCTTTAAATTGACTCATCAGCACAGTTGTGTAAAGTTTAAATGTGAGTTGCAGAGTGTTCTTTGTAAATGTAGGAAAGAAGCTAAAAATCCATTTTCCCAAATAAACGGTTCGCCCATGGGACTATGAGCATCAGCTATGGGACCGGCTTGTTCATTACAGTAGTTTTAAATTAATCCAGCACATTGAGGAAACTACAGTAACTGATTAAAAAAAGAGGATTTACCTTTCCCAAGTGAAGCTGTCAAAAATAACGACTTTAATAAAGGATGGTGAGATAATTTTATTATTCTAGTGTGGCATTGTGACCAGTCACAATGAAAAGGCTTCATTGGTTTCTCTCCATAACAATCAAACAAACAAACCGCCTTTATGTGCAGTGGGGTCAACGACACAGCTAAAGCTCATTTTAAGAGTTTTGTTTCATTGATTTTCTCTCAGAGAAATGAATTGAAAGGAGTGGTTTCTGGGGCTGTGAGGAAAAGTTGTTTCTAAAACCATATATAGCAGCAAACTGTTAAGCTTGGATTTAAAGTAAACATGATTTGTGGTGAATGAGCTAAAACATGCAAACTACTGATACGCTTCTTTCAGGCTTTGGCCTCAGGACTGGAGCATTTAGTGGCTGTCCACTGCTTCTGAACAGTATGAACGGTGGAAATGAAAGAACATAACTTTTCCTCAGGGGGTTTAATGAAGCATAGCTTAACTTTGTGGACAGTTGGCTGAATTTAAACATGCTAAACAAAGGCCCAGAGCGCACATGCTGTACTTTTTATAATTAAAGCTCAGACGACGATGACAGTTTCCATTACAGCAGTGTTTTCTCTTTTCTCGTTCCACTGAAGCCTGTTCCTTCCACAGTGGTGTCATTTTGGATGCAGAAGCCTGAAGACCTTGTAATCACCTCCGTCAGTCAGAAGTAAAATTGAAAAAAAAAAAAGAGTCCTGGCTCAGTTTGTCCAAAGTGGCCATGGGCCAGGGAAAAAAGAGCAACTCCTCATTTATTTACAGTTTCAAAGACATTCATTTTTTAATTCAAGCTAATTAAAGTCCAAATCATACTCAGGCTGTATATTTTAGCATGTATTTAAATATTCCGCGAGGCAAGTAACCTGCCAATTTGCAATAAAAACTCACATTAAAATCCTCATCAGCAGCACTCCCAAACCTGTTGGGATTCCTCTGTATTTTTCTGTGCAACCTGCGCAGATGTTTAAAAAAAGACAAAATGTTTAAGTTGTACCAAAGGCCAGTTCTCAGTCAATAAAAAAACTTCCCTTTTCGTTACACATGTAAATTTACCATTTGACTTTTATTCTTCTTTGCTATGTCACAAAATTACACAATTGTTACACATACGGTCAGAGTTATTTGGCATGTTTGATATGTCTTTAAAAGAAGGTTAGTATGTAAAACACTGTACTGTACATCATCTCTCAACTAGACTTAAAAGATAAAAACTAAATTGGAAAGTATTCACAAACACTTTTGTAATCTTGGGTAAAACTTAAAAACAAGGGCTGTGGATGATCATGAACTTAGTCATGACTTCATATCGAAAAAGGAAACCGTTAACCATCAGGAATGTAAAAGCAATAATGATAAATTGAGTTTGTGTAAATGCAAAAACTAAATATTGAATAAGCTAAAACCTCTGAATGTCAGTCATCATTTTTCCCCAAGTTGTGAATGTTCATGTCTTCTTAAGAGAGCAATCTTCTGTATCGTAACCATAGTAACTTTCACTTTGTCATGACTGTCTACTCTACTTGAGGCATTCTCTTTATGAAACCAAGGTTGTAAATTACATCATAGAATAATTGACAATATAATCATTATCAATTATCACGTTGTAGTAATAATATTAACACATGTAGCGTATCCGTGTTAAAGGAGAGGTCAGGTCTTTACTCTTCTATTACATGATAAGAGTCATGATGAAGTGACACTAGCAGAAAACATGCACAAGGACTGGTCTGTACTTACCAAGTACCATAATCTGCACAAATAAAGAAGCCATGAACAAAACAAAGAAACCATAATGACTGCAGTTCCTTGACAAACTCTGTCTTTGTTTATGAAGTCATATCTGAGTTGATGATCGTTCATGTACCCTTGTTTAGTTTTACCGCATTTTCATTTATGGATGGATAATAAGCTTTTTCACTCCTTAATCATCCAAATAATAAAAGCTATGTTTAATGTAAACTGTTACTTTACATAGTTTACAAATATAAACAAACTTATTAAAATGTGAAGATACACGTAAACTCACATTCAGTCATTAAGGCCAGAGCGCACTGGAGGCTGTTTATGGGCACTGGATGTTTTATGAAGAACTGCAGGTTATTGATACTGCACTGTGCCACAGTGATGACTTATTTTACCCTAACATGTTTATCTATCGTCATGTCTTTTCTACAGTTTTGGGGTTTTTTTGTACTTTTTGTTATGCCAACTGAATGGCAGGCTTCTCTTTTGTAATATCCCCTTTAAATCGGTTTCCTTTTTTTTTTTTTTTTTAGCTTGCAGTCCAGTCACACCTCACCTCTTAGCTTCCCGTAGCGTAACTCTCAACAAGAATGTGGTTAAAAAACCTGCATGATGTCATTTTGCCCCAAGCTGGGTAACACTCAGTGCAGGTTTAATAACCTTACACCATCCATTGAAGTCCAACTCTGACTTCTAAACATCAAACTCAAGTTTGAAGTAGTGATGGACCTGCTTTGGTAAAAGCACAGCTCTCACACTTCCAGAGCATCTCTGCCTTTATACTGTCAGCCCTTATCAAAAGCCCAGCCTTCGTGTCAGTAGTCCTTCATGTAAACAAGAGCATCTGTAAGGCCAGACTGTTTTTTTTTTTTCTGTGCTGCCTCCTCAAGTGATAGTCAAGCATCTATGAAGAGATTTTTCTTGTGAAGATTTTTGTAAAGTCAAGCTTTGATCTGTTAAGACAATGATGTTAGTGAACTGCCTCCAGTAGTCACCCATCATTGTTATGCTTCAATTATTTTATACCCACTGACTGTAGTATGTAAGGGTGGATGACTTGTTGCCTCTTCTCTCATTTTGCAAAAGTAAAGCCAAAATACCCCCTGACCAGGATTAATATGCGGCTCCTTTTCGAGCAGGAGTCAAATTAGTAGAAGCGTTCTTGTGGGGTTATGATGCCCTGCCTCTATTGCAAACTAAAACACAAATTTAACTCAACCAGAAAACACTAATGATCCATCGAATCAGAGCAGTCTACAGCAGAGCACATTCTTAAAGTATTGGTTTGTAAGTGACACTCATGACTGTGGAAAGTTGAATGAGTCTTTTGTTGTTTGTTATGCTTTCTCTTTGTTCCTCCTCCACTCTGCTCTTCTAGTGCACACAGAGCCGCAGAGGCAGCATTTCTCATCAGAGCTGTCACTCATGTCTATACACCCCCTTTTCCTAGCATCAGATAACTAATTCAGTCAGGACCACCTCTGTCAACAAGAATTCATTATTTACACGCAGAAACATGTATTTGTTGGTATGGATCTGTTCTGAATCCTCCCTGCCCTTCCACTTGCACATTTGGAAAGCAGGTAGGGGGAGCAACAGCAAAGACCCCCACCACCAAAAAAAAAGAAAAAAAAAAAACTTGACAAACCACCCTGGCCTTTACACAGTTATATAAAAAGTGCTGTCAGGGTGAAGGAGAGCTGCAGCTTGAAAGGGAAACCACTTAGACCAACAAGACATACAGTTAGAGGAATTCAATGTACAGACACTGGGTGGAGGTGATATGGCTTGAGAATTATTAACATGCCCAAGAAGTTTTTCTGGCACAACATTTGCCAGCAATTCATAGGGCACTCATGGCTTTTAAACATCAAGGATGGCTTGATTCTTGATGACCACAGGACACAGGATATAACAATAAGACTCAGGGTTTTCATGATGTGGTTGTCTGGATACAGGGCCATCTTAATACTTATAGATCAACCTATCAACCGAGCAAAGATCACCATTGAAGAGGAGATAAGATGAGAAGACTGAGGTTTTCATGCATTCATTTTAAGATTTGCTAAAATAAACTCTTGTTGCTCCTGTTTTATGCTTTAGAAACACCTGCTTTAGGACACAAACTGACTGCAAATAGATCACAACACTTGAGGTAGTGAAACATAAAGAACAATCAGGAGGTGAAAATATTCGGTTTCACAGCAGACCTGGGCGTGAACTCGTTTACAAAACTTTGGATGTGAAGGGATTACCAAAACGTAACAATGGACAAAGTGCATCCTCGGCTGTCCTTGGGATCCCCTCAGTAGGATTAGTGGGAACAGGATTTCCGAACATATTTAATATTTACAATTTTCAAGTCAGGGTGGCTCTGACTATCTACTGCTTGAAGAAAAATCTCTCTTTGTACACTTTACGCCACAGGATAATCTGGCAAGATTATTTTAAGAACCACCAGATCATTAGGTTTACGCTGAAGCAGTTCTAACAATAGGTGCCAAAATTTGAGGACTTACGGGTAGAGGATTTGATTTACTGGGGATTAGCGATGATGGCAGCTTTATTTCTCCAATACTATCTTTTGAAACATGATGGTGATGTCCTACCAGAGAGAAGCTGTGGCAGTAAAAGCCAGAGAAAACTGAGCAGCTTGCAATAATGTGAAAATAAACAGCTTGATGACTTGGAGACTAGTGTGGCCACAAGGTCCAACCCCTCAGAGGACCTCATGCATGGCATGTTTGGATGGGGTGTGTCAAAGAATTCACAGAGGAGATATGTGTTATGATTATAGTGGAGTGTCTTAGAGAGGTGATTAATTTATTGGAAAGGAGCATAAGTAAAGTAAAGAATGGATACTTGTTCCTCTGGGATGAAGAACTGAACATCATAATGATACCGTAATACTTAAAGTAATCTAAAACTGACCCATGCATCTTCTGCACTGAAATCGCACGTAGTAATGTCATGATCACATTTGGTTTGTTGAGGAGGCAGCAAGAGTAGGCAGGCTACATCAGATCAAACTGGACGCCTACCTGGGCATTTTCCAATTGGATGTGTACAAGGTATTCGGCAGAGTTGATCAGGTGATATTGGCTGACATCAAGATCAGCTGTGGGCTGAGCTGGACTTTGTGGCCTGCCTAAATGCTATGCTCAACCAGAATTAAAAACCCTTCAGAATAACATACACGTTCAAACGTAAATCAGCATGATAGGGACTGACTATAATGACAGAAACCATATTTAAGAAAAGTTCATTGGACATGTTTTGTCATCTTTAATTTTGATTCATGTCCCATCCATTTCCCTGCAGGAGGCAGACTTTATAACCTCTTCTGTAGTGGGTCAGTAGCGTTCTTGTTCTCCATCTTTTTTTACACCCAGGGATAAAACTTTACTTTTTGGTCCAGCTGCCAACTCTCCTCTAAACTACCAAGACTTTGGTAAATGAAACTCTCAGCTGAATTTGTGTGGATGTTGTAGTAAAAAAAGATAAAGATAACACATGGTTTTCCACTCTGTTTCATCTTGTATTTACACTGTCAAAATATACTCATCTGATTTGTTTTTGAAGTCTTGTTTGTGCAACATTATGTGCCTGTACCCAGTTGCGCTTCGAGCATTACTTATCATTGAAAGGCAAAGTGAGCAGGTTGCTCCTCCTTTTGAATGTTGATCTGATTACACATGCTTTTTAAAGTAAACACTGATGCTCTACTAGAACCTCTTGATCGAAGAGATGAGATGCGTTATTTCTTGCAAGCTATTCCTCCATATAAACCACCCTATACTTATTTCCTTTTACCTACATCCCTGCTGCTGGGTAATTTCACACGAAAATGATCCATAAGAGAAAAAATCATTAACATCAGCAGAAGCTATTCGAGGCAGAGAGAATGGCTCAATGTGCTGCTCAATGATCAGAGCAGCCAGCAGGGTTTACAGCCTCCTGTGTCCGTCTCTATCTCCGCACCCTGCTCTCACAACATCTGAAGCACATGATGGGTAAAAGAGCACTAAAAAAAAACACCTCCTAAGGATAAAAAAGTGAGAGGGTATGACAGCAGTAAATTGGCTATTTCCTCCCCTGAGCCTCACTCCAGACCTACCCTGCATTCAGAGCAATTTGAGTTGTGCTGTAATTGCTCGTGTTGCTTTTCTCCGCTCGTCATTTCTACAATAGAATTTGATCTCATTATGTTTGCCCAAGGTTGAAATGTCCGCTGCTCGCCCTCACTAGAAATAACACCAAGTGGTGTATTCACACAAGAAGCTAAACTGAGTGACTTTTACACTCTTTTTGGTGCCTCAAAGGTCAAAGAGGAAACAGATGATACATGCGACACCGATTTGTTTCCGACTTGTCGCTGTTTGAAAAAGTGCTTTTCCTTGAATGGTACAAAGAGGTTTAAGTGTGGAGCAGTTTCTTATTAGCTTGTTGTAAATGGGATTATCCTCCTCAACCACAGTACGAGGCATGGAGGGAGGGAGGAAGAGCCGAAGGGGCAATAGAGAAACGGATGTGACATGAGTCATGAAATAGAAATCAAAAGCTGTGCTCGAGCTGGGTTGCAGTGGAGCACACTGGTAAGGGTTTTTTGGTAGTGTGTATAGAAGATGTGGCCTCTGGCAATGTGCTTCTTGTTAAAAGAGGGGATGCACTTTGAGAGTGAAGCAGGCTCTGGATAGAGCATTTGCCCAGACAGCATTTCTAAATTCACCCATGCACTCATATATCTGCTCACGTTGTTGGATTTCTTTCATAAGAGCAGAGTAGAGCAAAGACGCAGCACATACTTCAGGACTACTGATATCTCTAAGCTCTTGAGGAGGCAGTGATAGGAGAAACAGAATGGCAAAGTAAGTCTGGGTACTTTAAAAATGGGGAAAAGAGAGTTCCTCTCTTGCAAATGTCCTCTGTGTTTCATTTTGCGTGTTGAGATGGAAAATCAGACAGATGCTTCAGTAGCTCCAGCAGTCCAGGATGAGTGTAGGCAGCAGCAGCAGTAATGGTAACACAGGTACTGCTCGGCTGGCTGCTCCTCGTGTACTTCCTCTGGCCCCGGATTCAATGTTAGAGTCCTTCTCTGAGTACGGTGGGATGACATTGAATTCCTCGCTTCCTTCCTCCTCCCGCTCCTCTTCCTCGCTGTCCTCCATCTGAAAAAAACAGGGATAGATTGATTCTTCCAATTAAGAGAAGTGGTGGAGTGTGGAGCGGAGTTCTGGATGTAAACTTCGAGAGAAAAGTCCAAATCAGCACAGAATTTAAAACTTGAGATGAAAATACACCAAAACAACCACAAAGCTAGCCTGCTGTGCGAAGAGTTTTAACACAAGATGACTGTCGACCAACTCATGAAAGAAAACGAAAGTATGTAGGGTATGAATCCCTGCAAGAGCACACACACAGTCTCTGTTTCATTTATAGTGTCCACAATTTGACTTTTCTGCCTTTGGCAAGAGAAACCCAAACGTTTACAAAGATCACGGGGCTGTCCAAAATCACTGGTACATCCCAAAAGATGTGAAGACTGTCAACAGGAGACCATTTAATTTTCTAACTTTGAGCTTTTTGCATCTGTGTATTAATTAAGAGCACATCCTCAGGCTGTAGTCTCAGGAAATCTTTATTTTACACCAAACCAGAAAACTAACAGGCTCTCTAGCGTGTGACAGTTATTAACAGTATAGGAACAAGAAAACCCTTTACTTACTTTCATGTTATTCTACAACAAGCTTTATATTAAAGACCCACTCCAATGAAAATCATGTCTTTCTTGTTTTTTTTTATACGTTCATTAGCATTTTTCTGATGCTTCAGGATACATTATGAGAAAACTAAGTGCGAAATTGTTGTTCTTCATTAAAATCACTGTGAATCTCTGGCAGACCCAAACAGCAGGTTCAGAAACAGTGAGAGTTCATATGTAACCACTCCAAGCCCCGCCCCCAGAGCCACACTCTGCATAAAGAGGAGTTATACAGAGGACGATTGCGGAACAATCATGTGTATTAGAGGATTGCAATGCTGTAATAAAGCTAATTATGATATTAACTTTTGTCGTATCCCTGAAGACATTAGTGTCCAAGAGCTGAATGCCACATCGGAGCAGAGCAGCGCTGTCTCCTCTCATGACTAAGAGGTGAATTGCTAATGATCTACTGAAGCTCTGCAGAAGAAAAGCCTTGAAAATGACACAGATAAAGCGATTTTTGGTAATAAAAAACCTTCATAATCACAATTTAAAGACCACTGAGAACACTCTAAGAAAAAAAACAATCGGAGTGGGACTTTATCACATCTATAAAAGCATTAGGTTTATGTGCATATTAGAATAAGGTAATCTACATGTCTGTATTGTGCTTCATTTCCCTGAACTTTAAATTAGAGCTAACATAATTCAGGAATCTCTCACCGCAGTGATTGTTCATGATTCATGTACCCTTCAAGATGATCTCAAACCATCAAGCATCCTCTCAGCACAGACAGCGGCTATAGTACAACTCCACTTTTGTGTCAAATCCTTTACTGAGCAAGATTTTTGAAAGTTTCATTCATTAAACTTTAAAATGACCATAACATTGTCAATGCTATCAAAACTGGTGAAGATCGCTGACTCTTTCTACGGTCTGTCGCCGTCATTGACAGAATTTTCTTTTTCATTTCACATTTAGAAATTTTAATCAAGTTTCAGATTCATTTTCAATCAAACTCACAGCTTCCAAATGTCACAGAACAACTGCTGTATAACAACAATGATATCCTTGTATTTGCATGAGAACACATAATCTAAATTCGGATGGTACGATAAAAGAATTAAAAAACTCATATGTTTTGAGTTTTGATAGACTTCATATCTGGATGTCCAATAAGCAGCCCAGGTTTCTGCGCTCTACAGGATTGTGAGGTGCGATAAGAGGAAGAGGAAATACAGAACCAGGAGGATTAAAATTGTGTGAAAATTAAACATAAGGTAGTGCATACATGAGCATTAATAAGATTGAATCTCATGCTGCTAACACCTACAGCTAATCCTCAGAGTTGGAGGAAGAAGCTGTTTGTTTTAAATCACTACCATATTCTATACAGAGATGTTACCAAAACTGTAAACCTCCTCTGCAGTACGAGTTAACAGGTGTCTTTACACTAACACATAATGAGACTCTGAAGAAGTAGAGAGCGCTTACACTGTTGAATTCTGGAAGAGTGTTAACACCGACGTGGACCCTCTCCTGGTAGACACGAGGGGAGGGCTCAGAAGCTGGCGCAGGGGTATTTTTTTCCGCAGGAGGAGGTGCTGAGATTCCCATGGAGCTGATCGCATTGCCTGAAACAGAATCAGCAGGGGGCATCTTCATTAGAATCACTTCGTTATTCATCCTAGGGGGATGACCAAAATAAAATCTTTAAAAGTCAAATTAAAACACAAGCTCTGTACAGACTGTTCAGGGTTGAGCAAAATGTATCGGAGAGATTAAGATATGTCTCGGATGACTCAGACTGTTAAACATGCTCACAAAAGATAGATTTTAATAACACATTATATTAAAGGCAAATGTGGAGTATCTCCCTGATATTGAAACAGTCTTACTCATAATGAGGCTTCTTTATGGCTCATATAGTACATATTAGTGAGAGGTTTGGTTATTTCTTTATGCTGAATTTAAGGGTCTGTGTTATGGTTGGATTTTCTGCAAATAAAGCTGAGTTGAAAGTCGGCACATGGAGGTGCTTTTGTTAAGATCTTTGCAAGTTTGGCAGTGATAGATCAGTTGGCAGGTAGGAGGAGTTTTTGCTCAAGGTAATTTTCTCTTTCTTTTCGTTTGTATTCAAAGTTATTGGCAAAAAGATGCACATTTTCTGCTGTTTTTGTTTTAGACGGAGAAACTACAACCAAGTCTTTGCCTGGTAAAAGAGCAAAATTTAATGTCTAGTTCAGCATGTGAGTGATTTGTTGTTTTTAGTGCACAGAGCAGTTAAACCAAGTGCCAATTTAAAGGCATGGTTGACGATTGGAGAGAATTGGTAATTATTATGAACCTCGTTTATATGGCGATCATGATCCTATCGTGCAATCGCCACAAAGTGAAGAGAAAAATTAATGGAAAAAATCCATTCACCCCAGTAAGTGCAGGGCTCCAAAAACATTGACCAATGGGAGCCATCCGTCCCGGACAGCTCCTATTCGTCAATCTCCTGCTCCGCCTCTCCATCCAATCACCTCACTGTATTCGACACAACCCTCTCCTGTGTTTCTGACTCGTCCCCTTCCACTCTCTCGGCTCTTCTCGGAGCTCTGAGCGGCTAAAAGTAGCATAGCAGCTTAGCTACAGGAGCTGTGACGGAGAAGGACGGAAAAAAAACCTACTTCTGCTTGCCCCACTGCCATAAGTGATTAGAAAACGCAAGCCGACAGAAGAAAGAGGAAGAGGAAATGTGATCAAGCAAGGAATCTAACTGGAATAAACATTGGGTCATCCTTCGAGCGGTGGAGAAAGCTTATCCAGGATTTGGGCCTGAAAACAGGCGCTGAGACAGCAAAGATTTTGTTGAACAGGTCATTTTTGCCTTTTATCGTGGCACATGTTGCATAAATAACTCTTATTAGTCTCTGCAATGTCAACATGGTAGCTGTCCAGGCAGCTGTAGACGGTGCTAGCTAGCAGAGCTGGAGTTTACTGCCGCTAGACACTAGCAATCTGACATGGTGAATCCTATTTGAAGCTATTCGAAGCTAGCGTAGGATCATCTGCCGGCTGGCTTCTTGCTCTGCTAGAGTGGGTGTGTTGTGGAGCACAGAGGGGAAAGGTTTGTGTGTGGGGGGTGGGACACTTTTTTTCAAATCTGCCTCAACGGCTCAGATTTTTTCAACAGCTTCTCATATCGTCAACAATGCCTTTAAGTTATTCAGACATTGATTTGTAACACCAGACCATATATCATTACACCACAGCTGTGATGGGTAATCAAAACATCTACTTATCTTACTTCAGCTATCTAACTATAATCTCAGCTCCCCCATTCATGCTGTCTCTAATCTTACCAGTGTCATAAGTATTGTCACTTGTGTCGGCTCTGTTCTGTTTGGAGTTGTTTGCTGCAGCAGCTCTCCCTGCCTTGGCTTTTCATGTTTGCACATAAAACAGACTGGAGGTGTGCATACATGTTGGACAACCTGCTGGGCAACAAAGTCCGATCCATGGAGGCTCCACCTCACAACTTACAGGACTAAAAAGATCTGCTGGTGCCAGGTACCACAGCACACCTTCAGAGATCTAGTGGAGTCTGTTTCTTGTAGCTGATGAGAGGCGATGTAAACAAAATAAGGCAGGTGGCCGTAATGTAATGGCTGACTGGTGTATAATCAAAAGTCTGTTGATGTCTGTGCCTAAGGAACATTAACACTTATTAATCCCACTCCCACAAAGCTAGCTGGTGGCACCACGTACACATGAAATAGTTAAAATTATTTTGCTCATACTTAGATTATTCATTTAGTTTTCCAGTGTATGACAAAAATGGCCAGTTGACCCTGTAACAGTGTGCAGATTTTGGTATGTAGCTTAAAGCAGTGCTGTAATCCACACAAAGATACAAACTTGGCTATGGAAGTCTTTTTTGACCCTGGACAAACAAACTGTCGCATTTACCAAAGAGTTGTAGTCCACTAGAGTTGTAGTCCACTAGAGTTGTAGTCCACTAGAGTTGTAGCTTTCCTGCATCTTCAGATGGATAGTATATCTTTCTCAATGTGAAGTTACACTGCCTCGGCTGTTTATGCTCTTTAAGTTTATTTCTCTTTGATTAGTATTACCGTACATTAACATTTGAATTCATAAGTGCAGCCAAGCAATGTCCCGGTTTTAGGTTAGTCTGCGCTGACAGGCTGGTTTCAAAGGAAAATAATCTGGCTCATCTGACTTACTTTGTCTTTTGATGCTCTTTCCTCTCCTGTTGGTTTGGCAGCTATTCTACAAGGAACCACTCTACATTTCTCAGATGTAATGAAGGGATTCACTGCCTCCTCAGAAATTAGGAATCATTTTTACATTTTCAGATCCAACCAGATAAAAGGGAAGATATCTCTTATCATTCATTTATTTGTAAGACAATGTTTCAGCTCAATGATTCACCCTCCAAATCATCAATACTAAACCTCATCTTTAATGTATAAATGCACATTTTAATAATGGAGCAGCATGTCCAGATCAATTTGATGTTAAACTGATATTTATCAGCTAAATGGAGGCATATTTCTGTCATTATTTTCTTAAAGAAAGAGCCAACATTTGTTTTACTCGAGAAAATGAGTGTGACTTGATTGCAATTTCAACAGTAATAAAATATTGATCGCTCTTATCAAAACTACTGAGTAATTATTTCAACTCCACAAAGCATGCCCCTGTATTTTGACATAATTAAAGACCTCAAACATAACTCTCAGGTTTTAATGTGGCACAACAAACACTGAGATGCCAAGAGAAAGAAAAATTGGCCACTTATTGAGTTAGAAAAGTCATTGACCTGAAACTTTCTGTATAGTTGTTTTCGGGTTTTGAAGAAACAATTTGTAATGTTTTCTAAATTCACTTTTCATTTTGACGTGTCATATATCAAACTGGAAAATCTATCATCTCCACTGGTCAGGTTTGTTAGGTCACATTGACATTGACAGCTGTGGCTCAGTGGTAGAGACTATCATTTGTCAATTGTAAGGCAAGCAGTCCATTCGTGAAATAGTCATCTCTGTGTGAACGAGGGTGGATGGAGTAGGTGATAACATCCTCTGCCATCACTTTATGAACCTGGTATGAATGTGTGAATCTGACAAGCAGTGTAAAAGCCCTTTAACTGATCAGACGAGACGAGTCCATCACCAACTGCAGCGGGGGAACGCAGCTCAAGGAAGAACATTTATGATCATTTCTTGGAAGTAACTAGAAAAGCACTCAGAGAGCGCAGACCTTCGCCAAGCAGCTCATGTCCCCCCCTTATATTGTAATTCACACCAAAACTTTTACTGTTACGTGTCTTTTATTAACGTTTATTTGTGTTTAAACTGGTATGTTCACTGTTCATAATGTTCCAAAAACAAGACATGCCCTGTCCAGGAGTCAAACCCAGGACCTTCTGGTTGTGAGGTGACAGTGCTAACCACTACACTACTGTACCACCTATCTACACCATCGTGCCGCCCATTGATAATGTTTTAGCATTGAAAATTCCAACAACACCCTTGTTTTTGTGTGTTCTGGGTCACAGTATCCAGAATTTAGTCCGGATCACCACCAAAAAATGGGGTCCTCCTGGGGCTGAGACGCACCTCTGGTGAAAATTTCAGGTCAATCCGTCTGTTACTTTCTCCATAAAGTTGCTAACAGACAAACAAACAAACAAACAAACCAACGCTACTGAAAACATAACCTCCTTGGCGGAGGTAATAATCATCATATTAATCATTTTGCTCTGCAGACACAGTAGTTCTTCTGCCTTAGCGTCTCGGTCTGATTGTATTTCCATGAAGAAATTATCATAAATGTTCTTCCTTGAGCTGCGTCACCCCGCTGTAGTCTGTAATGGACTCATCTGAGGTCTCCCTACAAACAAACGGTTGCTGGAAGAGAGTAGGTGAGTTGTGTTTAGTCTCTTTGCTAAAGAAATTAGGCAAAGTTAAAAAGATGTTTGGTGGCTAGTGCTATGGCTGCGACCCTATATGTACTGTTGATAAAGTTAGGTGCTGTTCTGAGCATTATTTGTGGCTATAGGGTGGCGTTTTTGTTGAGGTGTGCGCGTGGCTCCTGAGAACGCTGTGTATTGCTATCGTGTGGTCATTACTAAAGTTGGTACAACTAGAGAAGCAAGCAGTCGGCAGCATTCACCTCGCAAGGGGGTGTCCAACTCAGTGTTATGGTGTGTTTGACCCTAACCTTATTTTATCCCTTTAAGTCTTCTTTCACAAGTGTGTATCTTTATGAGCTGAACTCACACACCTTCAGACTTTGTAGCTCTTTACTCTCACATTACAATACTGTTATCATTAGCAAATCTCTAGCAGTAAGTTCTTGTTTGGCAGTGTCTTATTGAACTTAGTGACAGTTAACTCACGCAGACAGATGTTGTTGTTGAACATGTGCAGGATGCGCTGACAGCCCTGCCATTCGTTGCCGCTGCCCTCACACGTGCACCACTGAGACACCTCTGTGCTGCTGTTGCTCACGTAGTTGGGAGTCATGATGGTGCCTGGTTTCAGAAAAATGACAGAATTAGTTTCACAGGTGCACCTTAAAAACTTTTTAAGTAATATTTCCCTGGGCAGGAAATCTTCATTTTCTGCACACATCTCTATGGACAGTGTGACAAACTGGCAACAATATGAGCAGCCTGGGGTAGCAGTGTCACCAGGTTTCCAGCTCTGGATATTGATGATCACAGGTAGATTAAATTACTTTTTGAAAAATTACACTGTGGGAAAAGGCGTTTATATGTCAAAATATGGATCCTTTTGTAGTGCTGCTGGAAATTCAATTTCTGGATCCAGCTTTTGTTTTTTTTTGTGACGTGTCCTGAATCAATAGAGCCCCAGCTATTGGCGGATGACCAAATATAAACCTCTGTAGAGTTACCTTTGATGTAAACTGAAAACTGATAAAAGCCAAATTTCCATTTTCCTTTCAGAGGTGTCTTTAAGCAGCTGTCTGTCTGTTTTGTTTCCCAAGCTGTTCCCTCTTTTCGCTTCTTTTCTCTCCCTCAGTCTCACCTATGAGTCCAGCGTAGGCCTTCAGGCACATGGCTCTGCTTTCTCGCATACAGCCAGAGGCAGAAAGAGGGGAGGGTTGGCAGTTGTGTTGGAAATCAGCGAACCGGGATCTGAAACACACACGGTTGTACAAACAGACGCAGAAGCACACAGAGAGACAGAAAAGAGAAAACAGTTTTCACATGTCAGCTCACAGAAACACTGTGTGCATTTTAAACTGTTTTGACAATCTCATTTTTGGATCCGGGATTGAGCTGAAACAAAACAACAGGAACAAAACTGTGCTTTTGGCACAAAACACACAACATCAAACTGAAGAATCAATAGCTGTGCACTTGCATTAAAACATATGTTGCATTTAAACTATTTGTCGTCTTAGTAAAACCAAAGACATTTCAGAAACAACAACTCTACTTTTTCTTTGGAAACCTGCACTCTCTGGTAAAAGAAACACTGAATTGTAATGCTATGCTACGTAAACACACAATAGCCTGAGAGCTCTTACTAGTTTACAATCACTGGGAGAAAGCATGAAGGGAAAATCCACAATGCAGTGACAGCAAGACATCTACAATATACAGATTCACTGTGAATTAAACTACATTAAACCTGCACACCCACACACACATACACACAATTTAAAGCAGCTTTTTAAAACAACATGACTTATTTCATTATTAATCCAAAGCAGATCTTAAATGTGGTACATTTGAACCAAAACTAAGGACTTCACTTGATTGTGTTTTTCCTATTCCCTTCAGAGGGAACACATGGTGTTCATCTGTTTAAAAACAAAATAGTGTATTGTCTGTTGTGGTTAGCTCTCCTCTGCTGTTTAAAATGTGTTTCCAATACTGCAGATGGAGACTGTCACTTACCCTCTCAGTCTCAAATAAGTAGTCTTTGTCTCTTTTGATTTACAGCCTCCATGACCATTACACACTTTATGGACTTTCGTCGATGAAAGAAGGGCCTTTATTCTGTTTTTTTTTTTTTTAACTGAGGAGGCTGTTTGGAATAAACTCAGCCTCACGCAAGCTGTTACAATCATTGATGAGCAGAAGTCTAACTACTTGAATTCATGGTGCTATGTGGCCATGAGGTCTAAAAAGCAGCAGTATGTAGTTCCTGTAAAACACTTGCAAAGTTGCACGTTAATAGCAGGTTATGAAGCTCGTCCCTGCACCTGTCTTTTAACATCAACTACTACTACCATATATGTGCTGTTAGTAAAACAAAAAACTGAGTTCAACTGGTTGAGCTTACAAGCAGCATAAAATCTGGAAGGGTTTGTGATGCTTGCATGCGAGTATGAGTTCATGTGCATCAAGAGCACAAGCAAGAGCTGATGTTTTTGCCACAGTGTCAACAGGCAGGAGTGGAACTTGCTGGACTCTTTTCTGCTAGTTGATTTGATATGGTGTGTGTGATCAGGTTGTTCCTGGAGCGAGCTAGTTATCATTGTTTTGGGGCTCTGACCAATCAGAATCAAGTATTCAATACAGTTGAGTGACCGGAGCTAATAAAATTGCTAATCAATTGACTGGGCAAGTCGTTTGATATCTAATTATATTTAAGAAATTGGTAACACTTTACTTGACGCCTATCTCTATAATGCATTATAAATATATGTATAATGCATTATAATCACTTTATAGCACTGTATAACTATGAGTGTTTGTATAACTATATAAACACTCATAAATGATCATAATGCTTTATAGCAATAATCATAACACATTTTAAAGCATTTTATCATGACTTTCAAGGTCAGACATTATAATGTGTTATGCTTATTGTCATAAAGCCTTATGATAATTAATGAGTGTTTATAATGATAGTTATACAAGTTTATAAGCAAATTATAACACATCATAAATATATGTTTAATACATTATCTATGTGGGCATTGTCAGTGAGTTGTTAACAGTTATAACACATTATAATACCTGACCTGTAAGTTATGATAAAATGCTTTATAATGTGTTATGATTATTGCTATAAGCATTATGATCATTAATGAGTGTTTATAACTATAGTTATATGGTGCTATAACATGATTATAACGCATTACACTATGTTTATAATGTGTTATAGAGATAGGAGCAGAGTAAAGTGTTACCAAGAAATTTAACATGCCTAAATCTGACGTTTGTTTTTGCTTGCTCTGCATTTGCTTTAAGTATATAACGCGCACAGAGAGTATCTTTGAATCTTTTTGTCTGCTGGAACCTAAAAAGAGAAACAGATTTCAAAAAATCACATTGACTCTGGAAATGGCCAATAGACTTTTTTCTTGGGCCACCAATGCTTAATCGTGCGACCATTAAAAAAACAACTAAATACGGTATTCAGTAGTGCCCGTGATGCTGCTTTCTTTCAGAAGAAGTAAAATCGTAAAACAGGCATCTTCCTCTGATGTCACACTTCAGGTTGGGCGGCTCAAGTGTTGTTCTAATGTTGTGTTTCAGGTCACAATTCATATAAAATAAGAGGAAAATGTACAGTTAAATTCATTGGGGACATTTGGCCATGGCAAAACAAAGTTAACTATATTTGCAACTGTTAAACAACTGCTAACATGATACTCAACCCTGCTTTAACTAACCCTGGTTTGATGTTACTTGAAACCATTGAAAAGAGGCAAAATCCCTGCTAATCCTGCAATCCTACAATTTCATCGACCTGTTTGTCTTATTTGTCATACCTCACAGAGTAAGTATAATGAGAGCAAGAATCCAGATCAGAGGGTACAACATTAGTAAGTACAAAAAGAAAATAGAAAAAATTCAGCACACCCAATGTCCTTGTCCTTATTCAGACAAAGGTACAAAAACATACTTGATAACACATTAGCTACGATCTGCTAATTCACAACAGCTAAGGTTACCATCCATTTCTACCTATGTAGTGTTTACTTCCTACTGCATCAATGAAGTACTTCTATCAGGACAGGGCCTCGTGTTACCAGCCAGACTCTTCTTCTTGGTTACACTTATTTAATCAGGGCATAAACATACAGCCAATAAATGGATGCATTTCAGCCACAGGCTTTCTTCAGGGTCACAACATTAGTAAGAGTCAGAAACTGCATCTACTCAAATCAGACAGGTGCTGACATACAGAGCTAGAGGAAAAGGAGGATTTTTTTTATTTTATTTCAAGTTTAATTCAAGTTATAATTTCTAAAGCGAGAGCAAAAAAGTTTAATCATCCAGTCTAAAAGTTTGCCTCATTGTCATTATCATTATCTTCACCATCATCACTATTATCATTATCATCATCATCATCATCATCATCAATGCCTTTGTTATCAGTATCATCACAAGCATTCAAACCATTATGTGCAGGGTCTAAAAGGACGTTGTGGATCAGAAATAGTTAAGTGCACTTTTTCCATCACAGAGAGCACAGAGGAAGAAAAGATCCTCACCTAAGTACTTGAGTGTTCCTGGCAGAGGTGTTTTTTGTAAAAGGTAGACAGAGAAACTGCAGATCAAATGGAGTTCGGTAATTATTCCACCACCAGGGTACAACAGAGGACAAAAGTCTGGCTAGTAATTTAAGACCTTGTTGTGATGGAAGTACCAGGCGCCACCTCTAATCTGTCTTTGCATTGACTCGCACTGATGATTTTGGTGTGCAGGCACCATTAAAATCCCTGTGACAGATTTGCAAACCTGCAAATAGGCAGTAAACATTTTAACAACATATAAACTCTCCAGCTTGAGTGAGATGTCAGAATAAAATGGTTGCCACAGTGAGCAGAGTTGAATTTTGTTTTTTTGGATATTCTGATAAGCACTTAAGTATCTATTACTACACATATCTTACCGGCACAGCTCGTCTCTGGAGCAGTAGTTTTGCAGGCTGAGGCAGTTTGGTTTGCCCACTTTCTCCTCTCCTCTCAGGTTCTCCTCATAGGAACACGATGGGACAATGGTTTTCCTGCGGCGCTCTCCACACAGAGGGTCAGAGCAAGGACAGAAGAGCAAAGCAAAGCTGTATTCCTCTGGCACACGCTCCAGGAAACGCCGTAGGGCTCGGTGGCATTTCTGGCGGTTACAGCTGTTGTCAGAAACTGTTGCTCGCTTGGTGCAGGCCACGACATATTCAGACCGCAGGGAGCCACATTTCTCATACAGGCCACAATCCTGGGCTGCCTTCAGACACTGGTTTTGTCCATCCACAGACAGAGTGGAGGCTGTCAAAAAGAAGAGTGTGATCTTTAAAGAGGGGAAAATATTGATACTGTGATAAACCGTAAACATTTCGGATGTAAGAAGTACCTGCCATGATGGAGGCCATACGTGACATCTCAATATTTCGCACCAGATTTAACTGCAGTTCTTCATATGGAGACACGTCATACTCTTCATAAGCTGAAAAGCAGAAATTTCATGGATTATGCAGTGGACACTTTCAAAAAGCACCTCCTCCATGCACACACATAGCGCCAGAGTGCGAACCCACCTGCAAACCGCACAGTCCAGTACACCTTCAGGCAGTGTTCCTCCCTGCGAGAGCCGCGCTGGCACTTGCAGACTTGAAGTGGGCGGTAATGCTGCAAGGAGTTCTGGGCCTCCAGGCACTCCAAGCGGGCGTCTGCGCTGAGGGGCGACACCGCCTCCTCCGCTGCGCAGTATTCCAGGAGCCTGTAGAGCACCTTGCAGGACTGCACCTGGATGCAGCTCTGCTCGGCTACCAGACAGTCCAGAGAAGCAGAAACTGGAACACCACCTGGAGGACAAAATAAAACTATGTGCTATGGCCAAAGCTGTTGGTTGTCAAAGTAACAGCAGATTGTGCGCTGCTGTATTATGCAGAGCAGTAGAGTTTATGGTCCCTGCATTAAGAATGAGTCGTTAGGCTAAATAGGCTGTAATTAAGACAACAGAGCAAGATGAGTGCACCCCATAGATCCTCCATTGTGCTACAGGTGGCTATAAAATCCAACAAGGCAAATTAAATTGAAGGCACGCAAGTGTAATAAAGCAGCAACGTAGGGGAAACTTCAGATTTCCTCAGAGGAACACAGAGGCTCTGATAATTTAACAACACTACAGGGCAATGTGAAGATCATTCTTTTTAATGATTATTTTTTTATGCTCTCACTGGGACTTCTTGTTGACTCCTGTCTATTTTGAACACAGTCTTGCTGTGTGTGTTTTGCTTTTTTATTAATGCAACATCTTTTTCCCCGACACAGTGTCTCAGAGTTTTCACTGAGGTTAAGCACTAACCTTACATTGTGGTGCTGTTTGAAGCCAGTGAGCTAGCCTTATCTTGCTTCTCCTGTGCCAGAGGTAGTAAATGTATAAACTTTCACAACACGAAAAGAAGTGCAGGTACTAGTTTTAAAAAAAGAGTGGAGAAGTTGGAGTATCAATAAAAAATATTTATTCACTGAAATAAAAGTGAAAAAAGGCTAGAAAGTGACTCAAAGCAACTCTCCTTTTTTGTACAGAAGGAGCACAGGAAAAAAAACATTATGGCTCTATAAAATGTCCTGTTTACTTGTTTTGACATGACGACTTACACACTAGCGCACATATCAATATTTAAAAAGATACAGCACTCTGAAAATAAAAATCTCCCTGCCAATTAGACCCTCTGTGACACAACTTCATAACTGCTCGTGGTGTGAATAAGGGTAAGATGAACAGCAGTTAATTGGCTGAGAGTAGCAAACTAAAGGGAAGAAAAAAGGGGCTGGTTTTGGACAGAAGTGAAAAGACATTAAGAGATGTGTCAGCTACTTTCAAAGCCAATAATAAAAAAAAAAGAAATGCCTCTTCCAGCTCCCTTTGTCAAGACAAGAGGAAAGGTGTGAAGAGAGCTTCACTTGCCTATAATGGGTAGATTTTGCTGTTCACAAATACCGCATGACAGTTACTGCCCATTTTTTATTAACAACAAGAAGTAAATGCACTCCTACATGCTGCAAACTAGTGAAATGCATGAGATTTACAGTGTATTTTAAAATACATTTTCTAACTGAAATTACAGACTAATAAAATGAACATTGTGTCATCTAAGTGAAACCAAAGTGCAGAAGATGAATGTATTTAACCTGCACTTTGCCTTTTGCAGGGAATTATTTTAGTATCCAGAGATACTCCAGAGAAGATAAGATGTATTGTGATTGTATTGTCATGCAGTTTACCTGTAATCACAGTGTCATTGTACCAAAATATTACTGTTGGACTCATATATTCTATTACAGAGTATCATATTGTGTTGTACCATATGAAATCATATCCTATTAAGTCATAAAGTATGATATTGGCAGTGTATTATGTTAAATTATACCAAACCACAACATACTGTCAAGTAGCATACTGTACTATATCCTATCTCATCCTATCTTGTTAAGCTAACAGAGCCTGAAGTCTCGAACTTTCTACGTCAAGTAAGTTAAAGCTGCTGTGATTTTGTGATTAAGACTGTTGACTTAAAAAAAAAAAAATTGAAATTCAGTTAAAGTAGATATAACTCAAAATCTGGTTCAGGTTAAAGGGGTATTCCGGTGTTAAATTTAATTTAGGGTCAAACACACTCTAACACCAAGTTAGACACCCCCTCGGGAGACAAATTTTGCTGACCGCTTGCTTCTCTAGTTAAACCAACTTTAGTAACAACCGCAGGATAGCAACACAGAGAGGTCTGAGGAGCCATACATAAACATCAACCAAAATGCCACTCTATAGCCACAAATAATGCTCAGAACAGCACCTAACTTCATCAACAGTACATATAGGGTCCCAGCCATAGCACTAGCCACCAAACATCTTTTTAACTTTATCTTTAACTTTATTTCTTTATCATTTCCTTGAAGTATTAATCTTCATATTAATCATTTTGCTCTGCAGGCGCGGTACTTCTTCTGCCCCTGTGTCTCAGTCTGATTGCATTTCCATGAAGTAATGATCATAAATGTTCTTCCTAGAGCTGTGTCACCCCACAGCCTTCCGTAATGGACTTGTCTGAGGTCTCTCTACAAAGAAGCGGCTTCTGGAAGAGAGTAGGTGAGTTGTGTTTAGTCTCTTTGCTAAAGAAATCAGGCAAAGTTAAATAGATGTTTGGTGGCTAGTGCTAAGGCTGGGGCCCATATACTGTACTGTATATGTACATTCTCCCTCCTTTTATGAAATCTGTTTAAGATTTCTTTAAGTCAGCTCAGCTGTGCATCTATCTAGTAACAGACTTTCAGGATTCAGTGTCACAGAATTGCTTTCACTCGTTAGTTTGAAAATAAAACCTCAAAGATGCTCAAACTGGGATGTTTTACACAGAGAATTTGTTAGTTTTGTGCATCAGAAGAGGAAGCTGTTCCACTTGACAGCCAACTCTCAAGTCTCAGATGGTTCTTGGGTCTTCCAGCGAGTGCTTGAACCACGATGGAAGCATTTCCACACTAGTCCAAGCCCATTTGACAGTGGCGAGAATTTCTTCCCCCAATTTCACAATAAAACATAAATCCCGAAATTTAGATTGATCAATGACACAACATTTGAAATACTGTTAAAAGCTGTTGCATGAAAAAATACCCCAGATAAAAGGGTCTTAAAGATATAGGAATACCAGAGTGTTGCTTCAAATTTTCACATGTGGCACATTTTCTGTCCTCAGAAACAAAATGTGTTCTGCGCTGTTATTATTGCAGAGGGACACACAGACATTTGCGGGTCTGCAGGGGGGTCCTGTCCACTTGGAAAAAGCTTTTCACCAGAGCCAGACACTACTGTCTCCACCAGTAATGCTGCAGACAAAACCAATTTAACCCAACACTTCATCTTTTTCTCCACCAAAAACAAAACAATAAGGTCCCAATTCCCATTTTGCTTTTAGCCCATGACTTAACCTGGACGTTTCAGAGAGACAGGGACTGCTATGTGTCACTTTTGAGGATGTTTTCACCTCTGACGTTTTGGTCAAACACTTTTCAGCATGTCCTCCCACCCTCAAAATGTGTCACTTGAAGATTGCAGAACTACATCTTTTTACATGCCTTTAGAGGGATTCATCCCATTAATTCACACAAGGGTCATTGAGTGCCAATATGTGCTTATCAGCAGCCACATTTCCTCTGCAACAGACATATTATGCAGCAGAAAAAGTCCTGTTGGTCCATGCTCATTAAGCATTAAGACGGTTTTGATTGGCAGTGTTCTGTGTAGAACGGCTCAAAGTGAAGAACTACAAATCAATTTTTAATAAGGATTTTTTTTTTTGCTCCATGAAAAACACAATGCAGGAAGGCCAAAGGCAGCCTGAGGGAGCTGAGGGGGGAAAAGACAGAAAGGCCTCTTCATGAAAATGCATTCTGATGGAGCATTTCAGGAAATTAATTTCCTCAAATGTGACACATAATTGTCCCCACAAATTACATTTTATACACAGTGATTCCAGAGAAAGAAATAGCTGGAGTAGGCAATATGCACACACTTTTTTTTTTAACACTGTATCTCATTAATTTGCTATATCCTGTCATTTTATAACTGCACAAAAGCAACAGAGTGGCAGGCATTTTCAAATTAGCAGTACAGCTAGAAATAAGTGAAGTATGTATTCATGCTGCCCTGTTAACAAATATCTGTACTGATTATGTCCTAACATGTACTTATGCTGCAGCATAATAAACTGTATATTGTCCACGCTCATATACAAACACACAGACACCCACACCGCAGAGCATTGTGTTAAATCGGTCACACTCTTCGATTAAGCTCCTGCTGAGTGGTGACACAAAGCACGGCTGCAATCCAATTCTGCTGCTGCATGTTTTGCAATCTCAGACACCACATGAGGTCCACGTCTCACTTTGGCTTTAGACATATCATAAACAGAGGCTTCATGCCACCACCGCCGCAGGAAACCTGCCAGGGCTTCTGCAGAGTCCACGAGGGGAGGTGGGACAAACACACACACACACCGGTAACACCCAGGGTGATAAGTCATGGTCACAGCATGACAAGGTATGGGAAACAGATGATTACCTTCCTATCTACCTCGAAATGCATAGTGAAGTTGAAAATCCTCCATGTTTAAGCAGGTTTAATCTGTTCAGGCAGAGAACAGATTCTTCACTATTCCTCTTTAGTGTTGACTCCCTCAGGCTGATCAGTGACACTACATACAAATGTACTTTCTGAGAGCCTTTCTTCATCATACATGCAAATGCACACAGAAACAAAGACAGTGAGAATCAACAAATATCTACACAGTGTTTAGTATTTCTGAGAAATCCCGTCCAGTAGACAGCTAATCACTGTTTTCAATTTTTGATCATTAAATGTCATAATGTCCCAATAAGCTGTTAAAGATGCAACAAATTGCTAAGCAAAGGTCTGTGTCGAGGGAATTGCCTCTTTAAAAGAACAAGAACAGGGAGAAAGAAACAGAAGTAATACAATACACACTATTGATTTCTCACTGGGGTGATTAATAGCATTTGTGAGCCCAAGCTGATGAAGGTTACTGCCACACATGGAAAAAACAAAACAAAAACACTTTACAACTTGGAGCAGGACTGGACTGGTTTGAGTTTTCTCCCATCTCCTAAAACAGGAGTGATTATCTTTAGTGAATCCGACTGTGGTGGTGCAGGCCACTGTGATGTGTCCGGGGGAGATCATGACAGACGAGGCTTTTTGGCAGGAAGTCACAGGCTCGAGGAAGAAGCAGAAGCAGGGTGACGAGATGGAGTTTAAGTGAGACTGGGTAAATATGCACATGGTGACCACTACTTGTTAGTAGGCCTACTAACACTCATTCAAATCCTCTGCTGTCAAACCAAAAGGAATCTCTACAAGAGTGCTTATAAGCTTATGCTGATATAGATTTTTAGTGTGCATTACATTTGTAGTCTGTGTAGTATTGACCAACCACAAATCAGCAGGCTTCAGTGAATGCAGAGAAAAACAGTCTGAATAGGGAGCCACAGAGGGCAGAACTCAATCTGCTCTCATCAGAGGTAATCTGACGATGACTGAATTATCTCCACAGATATCTGTATGCAAGCGCAGCTAACGACGCGCTTTAGGTCAGACAAATCTGCTTGATGTCTGTGTCATAAGACCTTATCACTGACTGCCTAGGATGCATAAAAAAATGATTGATCTGACGTCCATGGAGCACGAAAAAAATTTCAGACTTTTTTTTTCCGTGTTTATACCTCTGAAATAAGCCAAAGTGAAGCCTCTGAATTACTTAGTATTAACAGTGTAATTAGGACTCTTGGACACAGATGAATGGGCGCTATTTCTGTTGGTGTAATGAACTTGGCTTTTGAATGAAACACACAGTTACTTCTCTGGTTGTTAATAGGACTGTAAAAATGCAGCTCATGAAAAAGGAAGTCTTGATCAGGAACTGTTTGTTATTACTGGCTACACTCATGACAGTAACATTGGCCATTGTTTCCTGAGGCATTTTTCACCATTAGAAGACGGACTCCAAGATTGCAAGCAAATTAGATACATAAAAAGGCAGGAAATTGTCTTTACTGGAATACAGTGATAGCTCCTAGTATTAAACAACATAACCCCTACATCTGCTGATTGAAATATAAAACTATCCCAGATTAATTTAAGAGTGGAGCAGAGTAAATATAGAAGTTCACATACTAATTCACCCCAAGAGACCATAATGGAAACATAGGATTCATAATGACTGTAAATGAGCAGCAGGAGCACTGAGCATATATGTTTGCAGCTCAAAATCATAACCATTAATGATAATGAGTATAAAAACTATAGTGACTGATATCACTTAACTCTTAAAGGTTAAAGACCTTTCTCCTTCACGCTGTAAATTATGATGATTGCAGCATGTTATGTTTTTTCAGTCTGATTTCAGTGTTTGTAGACAGACCTTGTTTCTTATTCATTTTTTCCTAAAACACATTGTTTTAGGAAAAAAAACTTTCCACTGGTTGGTTTCACCTGTGTGAGAGTGCTTCAGTGGACAGAAATGCTCCTTGAAGAAGCTGGTTCATCAGGGCATGTTTGAGTTTGCATTGGCCTTTATTGATATTTCATTTCTGCTGAGCTTACTTTTGCACTTTGGACCAATCAGCTTACAGCTTTCTAACATTCAACTTTCCTTTAACATTAAACATATGCTTAAAGCTTGCACATATTCTCTTTGTTATGAGGGGAATTAGAGGCACTGCCCTGGGCTACCTGCAAAGAAAGTTCTTTTTAAAGAAACAGGGTGAGTCCTGTTGGATTTTTTTAAGTTAGCATTTTTGCCTTTATTGATAGGACAGCCAAAGAGAGGTCGGATGTGGGGAGCTATGGGTAGTGAGGGGTGTCATGCAGCAAAGGGTCGAGGCTGGGAGCCGAACCAGCAACTGCGACAGGGACTATAGCCTCAGTAAATGAACTACATGTTCGAACCTCTGGGCCAACCAGCGACCCTGGTCCTGTATGATTGAAATATTTTCACTTAGTGAAGAACAACTCCACACTACCTGTGAGCATTTATTGAACAAAAACAGTATTCACATAAAAAAAACAGTCCTTTTTATTACTTTGTCACAAAAAATCATAATAAATTTTAATGTTAGTCTATTCTTACTGTTTTTGTTTGTTTTGTTTTATCACCAGGGCTAATCTGAGTCTACATTTCCGTGAACCCTTTATGACTTTCTCTTCTTCCCATGTTGCCCTGTTCCCTCTCAGTCTCTCTATGATGCTGCACCTGCGAAATATCAGTATTTTCTTCTAACTCTCAGCCAATTTGAGAAAAATCAATCCCAAATCTTCCCTCACTGCAGGTGTTCACAGCTCCCCTCCAATGGCCCCCGCTGTTGTCTTTGCTCTTTCCCATCAGGACCACCAACCGCAGCAATATCACACAAAGAAGCAGCAGAGTACAGTCTGACTTAATAACTGGAGCAAAGAAAAAAATGATATTTTTAAACAACAACCTTTTTCTCTCTCACTTTGCTTTGCTGTAAAAACTTGCAATTTCATCTAATTGCACAACAGCGGCTGCCTTGGCTTCTTGCCAACATCTTGTTAAAGTTGCAAAGTGTCAAACACCTCAAACCTAAGCCTGCCCACAATGCTTTGCATGCATGAACAAATAACATCTTTGTTTGCTCCTCCACTGAGCAAACTAACAGGGCTGATTTTCTATTTGACTGGTGCTTGTAAGGGTGCAGGAGAGTCACAATTTGCATTTATGAGTTTTTCATGTGTACATCTCACAGAGACAAATCACACAAACCTCAGAGCCGTGGTCCCACACAGTCCGCCCTCGCTCTTACAGAGGAAAAGTAACTTAAGGTGAGACCATTCTCATTAGAGAAAACCAAAGAGATTAATATTTGACCACATCAAAACGGAGGTTGCCAGCAAGAGCTTTGAAGATATTTCTCAAAGGAGATGAAAAACTACTTTAAAAAAAAACACTTGACTTGATTTTGCTTGTTAGAAAAAATGAACTTGTTTTTGAGAAAGTCTCGGCATAAGCTGAAGACTCGTCAAGTGTATAAGAGTCATAATTAAATCTTTGAAGTCAACTGTTACTCAGTGTATCCACTTTAACAAGCTGTGGCACCAGATTGTGCAGCCACATCACGCAGCCTGTACTCCAGGTAAAATACATGCTTGCATCAGGTGGAGTCAGAGTGAACGGGGTGAGTGAATATTTCAGGATTCTGCCTTCTGCTGTGTGCTGCGCTACTAAATTATGACGAGATGAATAATTTCTTGTTCAGATAGTGAGACACAGTTTTAGAGATTCTATTAGGCTGTGGGTTTTATTGTTGTGCCATCAGGTGTATGCAAGTGATGATCAAGAAGGCTGTGAATGACAGATTTAATATTTATGCAAATAGCTTGTAGGTCAGGTGTCGTTTATAGACTTACATGGCACTCTAGTTCTCCTTGATGTGAACATTTTAATTGAAATGATTTTTTTCAGTAAAACTTCAAATACTTTTTTAAAAAACTGCATATTGAAAAAGTGTATTTTATGTTTCTTATCTAAGTAATGTCCAATGGGCGCTTTGCCAATTTAATCTTTGTGTGCTGTCGTCCTAAACGAAACTGAATTTCAGGCACAGAGTACATTTAAAGACAATGCCTCAGCAGAAATGGGAAAAAAGAAGCGTCCTCAGTGTGGTGCGCAGATAAAGAAGCAGAGGAGTGGATAAAACACAAAGAGCACAGGGTGAAGGGCTCACACAGCCACATAAACAAAACCCAGCATGTGGATATCAGTCCACCTAACACCTGTGTGACTTTACACAGCCTGAAAATGAGCTCCATTACAGTCGTGATGACCGTGTTATAGCTCAATCACGTCCACTAAATTAAGCACCAGGAATAGAAACGCTCAATCACCAGTTGCAGTCTGCACTGGGACTTCAATAATCCACAGAGGGCCTCGCAGCAAGAGGTCAAAGTCAGGTTTAGTGTCATTCAACAATAGAAAGCATTCTGTTGATTCATCTGGCGAAGGGACTATTAGGCCACACTCAACACTGATCTCATGCATTATTTGTGAGATTACTGTGGATGAAGACACAATGTAGTACAAAAAAAATGTGGAGGAGAAAGAAGTGGTTGAGTGTAACTGATATATCACATACATTTCTGCCAAATCCAGTTATTTGAGGGAAAAACAAAGTATTTTAACATGAAAAGTCTTTTGTAGTGTCCCTCTTGTGCTCTATTTTCTTTTGCAAAGCATGAAAAGCTGGGGCGTGGGATCTGGCTTTGAATCACAGGGCAGTTTTGAAATCTATATCTGATCCGTGGAAACAGGTGCAATTCTCCTCTTTCTTTTTGGACAGTTCAACCCTGTGCAGACGCATTATAGATGGCAATGGTTAGCCTTGAGCTCTGCAGACCATCAGTGGTGACGGACATTTTGGGAAGGCTGGTCTGTGTTCCCACTGCCATAGTTTAGGTCAGACATTTGAATGGGGCCTGATTTACCACAAGGTTAAGATAACAGAGCATAGAGTGGCACATAGTATGAAAGGGCTATTTATACAGTACCTGCAGATATTATGTGTCTATAAATCTGACTCTAAACAGTCTATTTAAGCTGGAAAACTCTTAAAGCATCTTTCCAAAAGATTGTCCAAAATCAGCTGAAAGTCTAAAGAGATTCTGTGAAGACTCCACTACACAAAGTGTTTATTAAAACCTTTATTTTAACACGACAACAGTCTGTTTAATTATCATCTGCACTGACGCTGATCTGTGATAAAAAGCTGTTAGAAATAACCGCTTTTCTTGGTGTAATCCCATCTAAGTGCCTGTCAGGTGGGTTTGATGATGTGGATGACAAACTGGGTGTCTGAAAGGTTTGACTTTCACAAGACAGCATTCATCATTTCTTGATGCTAATCTCTACTGGAAAAGCCTGGCATTATCTGAAATTCCTGCAGGAGGCGAGCAGCCCACCTCCTGCAGAACAGAAATAATCCTGTCAATTAGAGTATTTTTGTGTTTTTTTCCATGCAGAAGAGCACAGAGTGTGACGATCCGTGTGGTCTGTGTTTACAATGGATTATCCAAATAATGAGGAGAGTTTCAGCACAGGCTTAGACAATGAAGAACACCCATGGCTGCAGAGCAACTTTGTTTATCAGCCTCATTCACAGTCATTACTTAATTACACCTCATATGGCAAGTGTGTGTGTGTGTGTGTGTGTGTGTGTGTGTGTGTGTGTGTGTTTTAAATACTTCTTTTAAATACATCTTTTTCAACTCCTTTTACACAACTTTAAAAAAGTGAGTTGTTGAATGTCAGTGAATAGAAGAATAAAGGATGAAGAAGCCAGGCTGCTGTCATGTTTAGGAGGAACATAACTCAGTTCAGTAATTCCTGAGTGATATTTCCACAATCTAGGACAGTGGGATCAATAATTGTGGAGATGAACTGCTTTTTACTTTGGAGGGCATCCAAGGCAGAGATAAAAGACCTGAACTCCTGATGAAGTCACCCGGGTTGAAAATATAGGGAATTTTATAAATTAGTACCAAAATGGTTTGTTGGCTCTTATTAATGGATCATCATAAAGTTCCTCTAAAAGCTAGAGTAGCTTTATTATGCCTGAATATATCTTCACGTCAGGTGGAACACTTATCTTATCTCACAGTCCCCACCTCTTCCCCTTTCTGTTGAAAAACTGATATGCAAAAATACGCAAAAATAAAAAAAAAAATGCAAAAAAAGGATAAAAACTGATATGCAAAAATATGCCCAAAAAAACTGATATGCAAAAAAATGCAAAAAAATAAAAATAAAATAAAATAAACAATGCAATGCAAAAATATGCAAAAAAATGCCCCAAAAAGATAAAAACTGCTATGCAAAAATATGCAAAAACAATAAAATAAAAACTGCTATGCAAAAATATGCCAAAATTAAATATGCAATAAATAAATAGATAAAAACTGCTATGCAAAAATTTGCCAAAAAATGTGCAAAAATGTATATTTAAAAAAATGCTCTGAACCAGGTGATTTGATTACTACTGAGTCTGGAATCTGAAGGTTATCATGATCAGCAATGTCAGACTAAATCTATCCTGTCTGCTCTGGTGGCTTCATTACAGTTTAATTTTGTTGGTTAAACTAAAACACAGACATGTATGTTCAAGTTTAACTGGAAGACAAAATATCCAGCAGAATAAGCACACACAACGACCCCTAACACAGATTTTTGTGGACTAAATGAGTGGTCCAAACGAGGTGTTGTGTTTTCCACACCTCGGAAATGGACCTGTTTGGGGGGAAAAGGGGGAATAATTTCCTTACCGTGAGAGAAGACATTGAGCAGGAGTCCAATGATCATCATCCTGTCCGCTGACATTGGAGAGTTGCACCCTGGGAAACTCTTACCCGGCTCTCTGCGGCTCAATGACCCGTCTCCTCGTGCCACATCCAGCCTCCTGCTCCTCTATTACTGCTGCTGCTGCTGCGCTCTCGCGGACTGAAGCGGATCACAGGGTGCTAGTTCACAAAGTTGGCCAAACTGAACCGCGCGCACAACTGGAGCGATTCGAGTTCTCGCGATTTCTGTTGTCCCATTTAATTCTCGTTATCCTGTTGGAAAACTGATCTCCTCAAATCTTTGGAAAAATGCATCCAAAAAGTTTCTCTGCACCAGTTGGTCCCAGATAGACAGGCTCCGTGTGTGTTGCAGCTCCACAGTTGTCCAGACAGAATGAGTGTGAGGATCACAGCGCAGGGACTGGAGAGACTGTGCGGGTGTTATAGACGCAATCTGATTGGTCAATGGAAAAACTGGATGTGTGGATGAGATGATAAAATGATTCCAGCTGGAGAAAGGAGCCTGACAAGTCTATTCATTAATATGATGGTGCCCTTCAGGTTTGTTTTTAATGTTAATTGCGTTTGTTCTAAATTAAGTTACATCTTTAAACAGCAAAATAGCAACAACTCACTCATTCTCTCAACTCTGACCTTTTATTGTCGTTACAGCACACTGTGTTCATAAAGAAATCCCATATGAAACATTATTGGCTTTGACCTTCACACCAAACCCTAAATAGTGCTGTTATGGGTTTTGTGTCCAAACCAAACTGCAATAGCATTCAAGTTCAAAAGCAAACAGTCTGTCTCCATCTGGACCTTTCTGATTGGACTGTGTTTGTTGTTTGAAGTATTGGTTCATTTTCCCCCCACAGGTGCCTTTATGAGCAGCTTAAATGTTAAATTAAATATGTTCCCTCCTCTGCCTTGAAACTTGTCTGCAGCCTTGCAGTCGTCTTCATTCATATCAGCTCACAGCAGAGCTGGGACTGTGAAATCTCCACTTGTTCCACTGCTGTGGCTGACCTGTGTGTGTGAGGGGAGTGAGTACAGACGGGGAGACTGCAGGGAGAGACACTCAAAGCTGCTGTAGTCACCTGGAACACAGAGGTATCCCTTTTTAAGATTAAAATATTTTTAAAAAAACCTCTTCTTTCTGCATTTACAGTAAAGACCTTTGTTGAAATCACCCCTCATGGGATCTCAAGTCAAAACTGATGGCTTGGGCAAAAATGTCAGTCTTATTAATCACTTTGAACAAATTGCTTAAGGACAGGACCTAAAATGACTGAACTCGATTTAGAAATACTTGTGGGACACATTTCTATAGAGTTTGTCATATAACTCATTTTACAGTGAAAATACAACAAGAATAAATTAATCTCCTACTGTCAAGCGCCCTGTGTGGAGCAACCATAAACTGTACATTAAATTGGACGCCATTAGTGTTCACTGACTGTAAAGCCAGAAGTGTAGAGCTCCTCCTACTGATTGGCTGCAGTACAGGTCAGAAACTCTGCCTCCCTCACTAACAAGATGGAGCTGGGGTTGAACTACAATATTAACATGCAAGTAAAGTTAAATCAAATATTCAACAGATACAGTATAAAAGATATTTGCATTGACAAAAGGAATCAAACCATCAACAACTGAAATAAAACTTCCGTATTTTAATAGTCAGAAATAATTGGTGAAATTTTGAAGATTTAAAGAGTTATCTATTGCTACTGTGTCAATAGATGTACAAAAAATGATCACATGTATAAAACATGATACTTAAATGTACAGATTAGAGCTGTCACTGTATCAGGTTTTCACCTCACGATTATTGCTGCAATAAAATACCACAATAATGATATAACTGTGATATTTCTGTGTAGCCTGAAAATACAACAACACAATCAATCAAATTAAGGAAGTCAAGGGTGAAGCCACATATTACCTCATAAATGTAACTAATAAAACAAAGGTAAATGCATATCATCCATATTTACTAGTGTTTAAATTCATGATTTACGAGCCAAAATATCTTTGTAGGAGACAATACCTCTATAACGATACTCGTGCTTTTATTTTTGATATCGCTTACATTTACATTTAGGTTACTCTATTTCCTGAATGGTTGATTTCTGCTTTAAGTTTGAAACAAACTATTTTTGGTTGATCTGAAGTTATGAAAACAAATGGAAAAAGTTAAAAGAATGATCAAGAAGTACAAATTTTCAAAGTCTAAAGAGGTACTGAACTTGGTTTTTGGATTCACAATAAATCTTGGACCGTTTTTAATCTAATCATCTTTAAGAAAGCTGTCTGCTACTTCTTCTTCATCATCTCTGTTGAAAGATATACAGCAACCAACAGAAAGGACCACTATGTACTCACAGTGTTACTGTGCCCTTACTTTTAGCACAACACTAGCATTAAAATTCTTTTAAAAGACAGCATTCATACCAGTATATTGTAACAGCCCTGCCATAGATCAAGATAAGATACTGGCGGAGACAAAAATGTGAAACTGTATTCAGAATCAGATTTCGTGTTGTAGTTTGGCCACTCCAATCAAAGAAAAAAAAATAAAGCCTGGACACAGTCCTGCTACTGCCTCTTCTTAAAGGGTACCAGAGTGAATTTAAAATCATAAAGTACACACCACTGAACTGTTGTCCTCACTCTAATGAAAAGACAGCAGGGGGATTAGTGGATTAATTTACACATCCTGTTCAACTGCATGCTCAAGTGGCGGTAAGAAGTGTAAGTGGACGGTAACTGTCATTAAAATGCACATCAGCAGAGCAAAAACAACAAAGCAATGCTTGTTATGAAGCACTGTAACCATGACGGCATAGAGACCTCATTGAACAAAACACTGCTCCTGCTTAGGTTGTTTTTATACCTACATAAAAGCCAGCCATATCCAATTTTTGATACTTATTTTCCAGATTTTCTTGGGCGCTGTTTATTTTTTTTTCAGACTCAGCTTTTATTTAGTCTTATCATGTGTTCATCAGTCCTATCTTCTTGCGTTAACTTTACAAGTCAACATGGGAACAATTCAGAGGAGATTTCATTCTGACTGGCAACACAGTAGCTCCTCCTTTTGGTCAGCCTTTTGCATTACATCAGCCTTGCAAGGGTTTCTGTAAGTCACACAATTCACTTAGGCCTACTCCTATAGTGAAAGTTAACACTCATCATTGTAAATCTGTCTGTTACCCAGGCAGTGAAGTAACTAAAACTGTCTCATCTGTACTGTTTCTCGACACAGAGCCCAGCATAATACGCTACCAACAAGACCTCTGAGACTGTTCAACAGCTGCCTCTTCATAATGACAAACATACTGTGCTTCAGGTTATGTTGTTCAATGAGGCTTAAAAATAAAACATAAGGAGTTTCAAAGACTGTCACAAGGGCCTCCCATCTACTTAAACACATGACACAATACTGAGTCATTAAGTGTTAAAGGGAGTAAAGAGTCAGCCTTATCACCCTTCTGTCATGATTTTGAATAAAAGATAGTTGTTTTTGATGGCCATTTGTAGCTGGTCAGTGAGTTCAATCAATCAAATTCATATTTTATTAATATAGCGCCAATTCACAACAGTCGTCATCCCAAGACACTTTCGAACGATAAAGAGCAGGTCTAGACCACGCTCATTGTTTGATGAATTATTAAGACCCAACCTAAGATGGGATTTGGCCCATCTCATCTAACATGAGTAACAGTGGCAAGGAAAAACTTCCCTCTAACAGGCAGAAACCTTGAGCAGGACCAGACTCATGCTAGACAGCCACCAGACCGCTGCTGGGTTGGGGAGGAATACAGAGAGATAGGGAGGGGGAGAGAGAGAGGGAGAGGAGTGGAGAGAGGGCAGGAGGAGAGAAAGAGAACAAGATAGAGGGAAGGAGAGAGAGAATAGGTAAGGGGGAGGGAGGAAGAGAGAGTAGAGAACGTGTGTGTGTGTGTGTGTGTGTGTGTGAGAGAGAGAGAGAGAGAGAGAGAGAGAGAGAGAGAGAGAGAGAGAGAGAGACAGACAGACAGGGGACAGCGGCAACATTAAAACAACAGTAACAACAACAACAGCTCATGCAAAGATGAGTTAGTTATGTTTATCAGTTCAATAAATCCTCAAGTCTCGTGCCGCCCTCTAGTGGGTAATCAGGCTATTTCATATCTATCCTCCATGAATTAAACTTTTATGCAGTATCCTTGTCACTTATGCAGCCCCTTGACTTGCCATTACCAAGATGGACGAACGCAGAATGGCGTCCGCAGCAGTAACCTGGCTGTAGCGGTGCAGCAGGTGAGCTCACCGACCTGTGCTCTCTGCAGAGCAGGTGTAGACACGTGACTGACGCAGCTCGGGAACATTTATGGACATTTAACCACACAGCTGATATTCAGACACATCCAGGAAGCATGGTAACCGCAGAGCTGCATGTAAATCATTCTCAAGCTGCAGGCTACACAACAGGTCACAAGGGCAAAAGACTGTCCTAGTGAAGCATTTGTGTCTGAGGAATGAATGACTTTTTGAGCAATTTAAATGCGTTATTTAGTTTTAAATGAAAGACAGTTACATAATTTATGAGAGGTTATATTTAAGAGTATTTTTGTTCCGTGTGAATTCTGCAATTGCGTTTCAGGAGTCATTGACAGGCTGTGGTCAGCACGACCCTTTGACTTTCCTCCAGAGTGACTTAGAAGATAAAAGTGTCACTACAAGGCCGCGGTGTTCACTGGTCTATTTGAGTGTCACTGGGCACGACGCCAAATAAGTGCAAGTCCACGCACTAACTGATTTTCTCTCTAAATTTAGTTTGCTCACGTGTATTTTGTAATATAAGGACTCAATCACCCACGACATAGAAAATTACGCAGTGACGCCATCACCCGTTAGCGGATTTAATTGGTAGAACACCACGTGACATTGATAGATCGTCCAATGCCCGCAGACTGCAGTTCTCGTTTTGTCTCGCGAGGGAGTGTGTTATATAAATCAGTAACGCGGCTACACAATCGGCCATTTCGTCGGTGCAGGCCAACAGCTGTAAAGGGCAGCGGGGTTTGTCAAGTACTGGTTATCTAAAAGGCACATCAAGAACACTGCACCATGAGTGAGACAGCTATTTCATTCGCCAAGGATTTCCTGGCTGGAGGTATCTCTGCTGCTATTTCCAAAACAGCCGTCGCCCCCATCGAGAGAGTGAAGCTTCTCCTTCAGGTAACACTCAGCCCTCCGGAAGCCTCCCTGCGCTAGCTTGTGTCGTCCCGGCTAGCTGCCATTGATCAAAGTTATGCGCAAAGCGGCGCCGGTTACCGCTGCCTATCCACTGCTACTTGCTTCCACTAATCTCTATAATATCAATACATACAAATGAGTGTGAGTCCATATGGAGATGAGTTATAGGATTTAAGGTCATTAGAGGATGGGGAATGACCTACACGAGCCTGGCTACTAGCGTTAGCTTCGCACGTTCACCTTAGCGCGTAAGCTAACAAAGGACAAACGCTTGTAGTGTCATTAGGACATTGTGTACAAATAAACTATACTCTTTTAAATTAAGACACAGTTGTTTTTCTTTAACAACTACGAAAAGCTGACCGTGTTTCCGACATTTCCTCGCTAAATGAGAGAGTGGCGCATTGGTGGTGGCTAATGTTCTCTCGGATGTTAGCAGAGGGCTGAGCTCAGGCCCGGTGACACTCACTCACAGCCGGGTCAACAAGTTTTACATCCTCCTCTGTTAAACCTGCACCACGACATTGTTTTTATACATTCCTCTAATGACCTGCGCCACACTTAATTTACATCTCTGTGCATTTTTTTGGCTCTGCCTCCTAATTTGATTATTAATAAATGCTCTGTAATTCCATTCACCACAGCAGCCAATATAATGTCATTGGGTGTAAACAGTGGTTGCTCAGTGTAAGTGTTCCTCCTTAGACCTTGTCACTTCTCTTACAGGTTAAAGAAGCACCAAGGTCACAACAAGGAGACCTTGTGATTGACTTGTGCTTAACACTTAATTGGCTTCCTTGTTTTCCACCTGACATTTACATTTCTTCTCCTCTTCTCTCTGTTTTGATGTTTTAGGTCCAGCATGCCAGCAAGCAGATCACCGCAGATATGCAGTACAAGGGTATCATGGACTGTGTTGTCCGTATCCCCAAGGAGCAGGGATTCCTTTCCTTCTGGAGAGGTAACCTTGCCAATGTCATCAGATATTTCCCCACCCAGGCCCTCAACTTTGCCTTCAAGGACAAGTACAAGAAGATCTTCCTTGACGGCGTTGACAAGCGCGCCCAGTTCTGGAGGTACTTCGCCGGTAACTTGGCGTCCGGTGGTGCTGCAGGAGCCACCTCCCTGTGTTTCGTGTACCCCCTCGACTTCGCCCGTACCCGTCTGGCCGCAGATGTTGGAAAGGCTGGAGCTGAGAGAGAGTTCAGCGGTCTTGGAAACTGCCTGGTGAAAATCTCTAAGTCCGATGGTATTAAAGGCTTGTACCAGGGCTTCAATGTGTCTGTGCAGGGCATCATCATCTACAGGGCTGCTTACTTTGGCATCTATGACACAGCCAAGGGTACGTTGATTTTTACACTCCCACGCTGGAACCACCTCAGATGTCACTTCAGATTGTACATTTCTAAATCGACTTTTTGTTTACAGGTATGCTTCCAGACCCTAAGAACACCCACATATTGGTGAGCTGGATGATTGCTCAGAGTGTGACAGCTGTTGCTGGCCTGACCTCCTACCCCTTCGACACTGTCCGTAGACGTATGATGATGCAGTCTGGACGCAAAGGAGGTAAGTTTTCAAAGTTTAAAGATTGTTCACTGTTAAAATGAGAGACATCTCTGAACAGGATCTAACTTCTGCTCTGTTCTTCTTCCTCAGCTGAGATCATGTACACCGGGACCATCGACTGCTGGCGTAAGATTGCACGTGATGAGGGTGGCAGGGCTTTCTTCAAGGGAGCCTGGTCCAACGTGCTCAGAGGCATGGGCGGCGCCTTTGTGCTGGTGTTGTACGATGAGCTGAAGAAAGTCATCTAAATTGTCATTTTGTCACATCACTGTCCAATTTGGCTAAATGTAATAACTTTCCATTTCTATGGACTCTGCATTCTGCCTTATTTATGGGAACAAACTATAGTGTGTCACCACTAGCTGTGGGCGAAGGCTGTACGTTGTGCATCGTTATGATTTTAAACGTTCCACACCCTCTTTACCAATGTCATTCCTGTTCAAGAAAAATCTGATACCTCCTCCTGTTATTCACTAGGTTTGTATGGTCCCAACTTGAATAAATCTATTCTGGGGAACAAACTCAACCATTGATGTCCACTGTCTCCTCCACTGTCCTCTACAGCCCGACATGAGCACTCACTCACTCACTGGGTAGTGGATTACTCCTGACTGCTATATTTACTCGCGCTTATCTCCTCTTAGCCTTCCTGTTTGACCACGCTCACTACTTGGATTGTAGAGTAGCACACTTGAGTGTTAACGCGTCTGTAAACGACTTTACAGTCTGCTGCTGGTAGACGGCTATGTCATGTCGTCTTGTTTTTAAAAATTGCTGTTGTAAGGACTTTTTAATATATATGCACGGCAAATGACCAGGAGTGGTATATACAGTAACCCCTGAATAAGCAGCAGAGAAAAGTGTAAACATTACATTGATAAGGTGTCTAATGTCGCTCAGAAATAAGCAATGTCAACTTATTTGCTTGACTGCCTACGTATCCTGTATACACACACTTTTGCAGTGATTTTTATTCCTGAAATTGCCAGAAGTAACAACATAGAAAACTTTAGGGATGCTGAAAGAGCTCAGAGAGAAACCGAAGAAATGTAGTCACAAAATAGTCCTTTTATTTTTGTTTCACTTGGAGGGAAATTTGCCTCACATGAATGAACCAAAAAGTGTGTCCTGAGCTGACTTCAGACATGTTTGAGCAAATATGATTACAAGCTGTGGCAGATAGCAGAGAATGGTGAATGTTTGTGCAGGCCAGATAAATACTTTACCAGTCATGTCTCCAGGGAGGGTATTCACATATCCAACAATGCTAAGCTAACAAGATATCTTAACTTTGAACAAGTGATTACAAAGCCGAGGTGTGTGCTGCTGCAGCTCCCCACAGAGGGAAAACACCACAGGTATAGTCTCACTAAAAATCATTAAAAAACTTTACATTTCACTCTCAAAGACAAAAAAGGGAAAAGTTAACAGTAAAACTTAATCAGAGGTGACCCTTTAAGAAGTTTAAAGTTTAAACTTCCCCGGATTGTTTTGAGCATCTAACCTGAAATACTTACAAATGACGGCAGAGGGCGCCAGCGGCTAACAAGTGTGAAACTCCGACGTGCTCTCTTGTACGCGTGGTCCATGCTCCTAATCAGTGACAGTGACTGACTTTGATTTATTTCCTCTTATCAGGCTCGTGAGTAACTATCAGGTGACTGTGCATTCCAGGGATGGTCTTGCGTTACAAATATACACGGTAATATAATGTAATGTGTTTATTGCTGCTCCTCTAAATGCATTTTTGCACTATGTTTACATTTGTTTGCATTGAAAGCTATAATGTGCTTCATACCGTTGTGCATAAAAACTCAAAATAATACAAAACATGTCGCCTTCACAGAATGAAATAGATTAGTCATCAAGTGCATGAATTAATAAGCTAACGCATTCTGGTAATTAAAGAATAATTTATATAATTTTGCCCACTGTCTCAAATTAATTGACCTCAAAAGTTTACTGATTTGTGAGACATAGACTTCCAGACAGTGTGGCCTGAATGTATGATTAGGTACAAAGACCAAGATTAACTTTAACTCATGAAAAATATGTGGTATATGAAAAACAAATCATTTTGTTAATTAGACTGCCAGTATATTTTTCATTAACGTCAACAGTGTGGTTCTCTTTGAAGGCAAAGAAAAATTAAATAGTCCTGAATAAAACAAATTAGGGAATTTTAAAAAAATCATCTCCTCCCGCAGACAAACTCTTTCTGAATTTATAAACACATAATTTATTCAACTAGATAAGTCTCAGAAAGAAACCCGTTTTCAACACGAATCTTGTGCAAAATACAGATTTTCAAAATTTGCTTTTGCCACTCCTGTCCATGGTGTATTTAATATTTTTTTAAAAATCAAGCCCCGTAACAGCAACAGTGATAGAGTGTTTAAAAATCTGTCATCAAAAATCTAATTAGAAACAGACACAATGTCTCACATGATGGGGCACTGGAGGAGGTATTTTACGACGATCACTCGAGGCGTTTTAAAATCTTTTGGAAACCAAGCTGGATCACCAGACCAACAATAGTTCCCGATCAGCTCAAATGGAACTGAAGTGTGTTCTTGTTTTGTGATAGCGGTGCTCAGTATCTTTTATTTGTATGACTTCTTATCCTATTGGATAATCTTTCCACATGCAGTCTTTATCAGAATAAAAGCTCATACTGATCCTGGCTGATGTAACATTTTGTACTTGGAGTCTGTTAATCAGAGTCTGATAATCATTTATGGCCTGCTGTACACAGTTGTGTGTGTTTCTGTAGAGCAGGACCAACACAGGCTTTAATTCTTGGAAACGGTTTTTCTGTGCAGAGTTTACATGTTGGCTGCGTCCTCCCACAGTCCAAACACTCAAGTGAGTGAAGAGGTTTTCACTCTTGATTTGACTGTACAGTAGGTGTGAAGTGAAGTATGGCTGTGATTGTTTATTAATCCTCAATAGATTTGTAATGGACCGGCAGCTTGTCCAGGGTGTTTCCTGCCTTCTGCCCAGTGCATTCTGGGATACAATCCAGCCCGTTCTTCGAGATCTACAGAATCACATCCAACTGTATTTGGATTTGACACACGAGCAGGCTAATATTATTTATAGGCTTAATTTTAGCTTATACAGCTCATTTCTTTGATTGTATTCACTCCAGGAATATCTGTCCATGTATGTGCGAGTCTTTTAATGCATTCACTCCATGTCCGTTTGTGCGTTTTTTTTTGGCAGTGCAGTCATGTGAAAGGTCACACGAGGAAGCCTCATCGCATCAACTTTACCCTTTTGGAGTCAAAAAGTTGCTTTTTGTATAAATTTCCCGGCAGTATATTCATGAGAAAATCCGGCAGTAAAATAAAATGGCAACAAGACTTTCTGTGAAGTACAGGAAAGTACTAGTTTTTATTCCTTCATAATCAAACTTCACAAACAGCTTGAACTTGTACAATACCTCAGAGAGTGAAAATTACAAAAAAAGTGCTGGTAACATTTACAAAAATCATCCTTACTTAGCAACAATCAGTTTATTCTTCCACACTTTTTTTAGTCTTTTGTATTAAGGCTTAATACTTCTGTATAAAGTATATGCAAGATAAGTCTTCACAGTTTTTCGAAAAAAGTCACAATATTATGTAACATAATGAAGCTTTTACGGCTATTTTCTTTATAATAACAAATACACATCACTGGTAAATATATGTGAAATACAGGGCTTATTGTAAAATGGCAAGTAATGATACTGTTTGCTGAGATAAATTGATTCCACACACTGTTATAGGAAAGTTTTGACATACCATTGCTATAACTGAAGGAGGAGGAAAAGAAAATGATAAGCATAAACACTTGTGAGATCGCCTCCAAACTTTGGCACATCCCATGAAACAATTTCACAAAATATGAGATTTTAATTTTGAAATCATACATATGGAAGAATAGCTAAACTGGCATAAAGTGAAAACATGCTGTGTAGTAAGGTGCTAAATCAGAGATATTACACTGCCAGCCTCTTTTTTTTTCTTTTCCCCCCACATGGACTGACATGAATAAGGTGCATTTGTAAGACTCAAAGCATGTAGGCCTTTTTCAGATGTCAACAAAATGTGTAATAAATACAGGTTTGTAAAAAAACCCTAATTAATTTGACCAATAGTCTTGAGGCGACCTCGTATACTCATGCGTTCCCATGGTTTCAGAGAAATGAATATCTCTACTGCAGATGTGTAACTTTCTAAAACTGTGGCATGTGAAAGTAAAAGCTGTATTGTGTTCATGGTATGTGTTATTTGCTTTTTTCTTTTTTTTTCTTTTATCAAACTTTATGTTGATTTTAACTGTTGAAATTGTGACAAACTTGATGAATAAGGAGATGAAATTCAAAAACTGAATGCGAAACTAAGCCAAGATATATTCACAAGATCCTCTAAGCTGCACTGGTTTACAGGTCAACAGATGAGAGCTCTAGCCCTAGACTTACCAATTTCACCCTCATGCATACTGTACGGTTAAAGTGACGCAACAAGCTTGCTTAAATAGTCTACATCACAAAAGCAATTTGGTTTTAGTGCAAACACAATTGGCTGGCTTCAGCTTCTCAATAATAACAAGCTCACCAAGGAGATTACAAGAAGGCACATACTTATGCTTCCTCTAACACGCAACATATTTAGACAAACCGCAACATCTTTCAACAACACCACAAAGCGGTGAAAAACAGGAAAAGCTACTACATCCAGATAAAATGGTGAAGGTTTGCTGTTTGTGAATTATTGGAGAATTTTTTTTTTTACATGTATCCGCTGAACAAAATAATGACTTTTTAGATTGACAGTTTCTGCTGTTGTGAAAGACCTTGTTGAAGAAGGATGACGTATGATACATTTTGGTGGATTCTCATGTATGTGGCCAATGACATTGTGTTGAAACCACAAAAGGTGCATTTGGATTTTTTTTTTTCTTGTTATCACTTTAAAGCATTTTTGTTCAAATGTAACATCCCCGTTTAAGGAAAAAAAAAAAAAAAAAGTGACCAAATATTCAGAGAAGACGAGTGTTTTTCAGGGGAAAGGTGTGACAGCTGGGTTTATCTTTTGGTATTTGTGTTTTTATCTTTGAATACATGGTGATGAAGACAACTTGACTGCTGGGAAAAATGAATTCCTTCCCTCATACATCCCGTCTCTCACTTTTCAGATCTGTAAGAGCTGCTTGATTTGTCCAAAACAATCACAGGAGGAAACAAAGGTTTTAATGCCCCTCAAATCTGGACACTAATACTCAGGGTAGTGCTGGGTAAAAAAAAAAAAAAAAAAAAATCAAATAAACAACAACAACAATAATAACAAGGTGTAGATGTCATGTGCATTTAAAAAGGTGACTGATTCTGTACCTTTAAATACAAAACAACAAATCAAAACGAGTCAATATCACCAGTTACTCAGCATTACAATGGTGCGAGACGACCATCACATACTATGGTTTGAAAATGTGTTGAGTGAATTATATTGCTTTTTGATAGGCGACGACCAAAATAAGTCTAGTGCAAATCTCTTTTCTGGTTTGAGAAGTGGTGTTTGGTGTAATGAAACTCGACTGTCAATATCTGCTCGACCATAGCAAGAACACACCAGCTGATTTGAAGAACTGGATAGCTGTCAAGTGGTATCCCTTTACAACTTTTCTGACTAATTTGATCAGAAAAGAAAAATAAAATCTGTCACCATTCGATGCAACTATTTAGAAGGAAACCCCATTAAATATTTCCTATAATATATTACCCATCACCCAATTTACACAATAACCTAGCACAAAGGAAATGTTTGAACTCCGCACATCTAAACGACTCCTATTTTTAGCAATTTTTAGTCACCCTCCCCTGTACAGCTGGGAGGAGGCGTTTTTTTTTTTTTTAACTCTGTGTCAGCTCATATCTGTGCTAACGGGTGTCATCTGTGCAGTTATGTCTGTCAAATACATCTCTCAACTTGGAAATGTTGGAAAACTCACTCCAGTCCAGTGTTTGACAAATCATATTATAAAAACGTCCTTGCACATACATTTAAAAAAAAAAAAAGAAAAAAGAAAAGAAAAGAAAAAAAACTTTATCCCCTATTTCAAAACAGCAGTCAATACATTTCAAACAAGCTTGTTTCATAACAATAATAATAATAATAATAATGATAACCAACTTGGAGCATAAATTATCAAAAACAAACTGAAAACACATTACTGCAGCATATATTTCAGGGTTTGCTTAGTTGTGATGTTAACTACCTTTACTACAACAGCTCCACTTCTGCCAAGTTCAGAACTATATAGAAGTTTTATTTTAGGGAAATAATAAAATATCAAGCTAACACAGGCCAACAAAAATAAAAGCCTAACAAAATATACACATATTTATAAGCACATCTTATATTTCAACTCAAGTGCATGTTTACAAAAGCATCTACACACAAGATATGGCAGCAAAAAGCCCGAACGCCAGATGAAAAATAAAACCTAAGCTGCTTTGATTAGGACAGAAATAATGTCTGATTTGTACTGTCAATGTTTGAGAAAACTAAGGTTTCACTTCAGGTACAAAACATTGCCAAAATTACAGTAATTCAATTTCCTATTTTGAACACGAAGGATGAAAATAATACAGCAGATTTGCCTGGAATTAGAGGTTACAGTAATAAAATATTGTCAAATTTTGCCAAATGGTTTACATTCTGCTTACAGATGATGTGTTCATATAAAAATATATCATCTTTTTTTTATCACTGTCGGATAGGGATATTTGAATCCATGTTACAGTTTGGTTTTGATTTATTTTCATCATATGGTGATGGCTGGCTCTGATGCTTTGTGTTTTCAGAGAAAGTGAAAGACTTTAGAGAACCTCAGTCAGTTTGGACTGAAAGTGCTGAAACTGTCGTTATTCTTTCCTCTTTTTGGCTTCAAAAACAACCTACAAATATGTGCAAACTTAACATCTTGGTCCGTCTCAAGTATAAATGGCTAAGTGTACTCTAGGTCACAATATCAGATTAGTAATTCAAGGGACAGCCTTAAAATATCACACGATGCCAATATTGAAGAAAACTGCAAGAACGAAACTATCCAGATGTGACGTGTGAAGGTGAACAGGTTTACACGGATTTACTAAATGTGTGTGTAAAGAAGACATAACCGATGATAACTGAGTATGATGTTTTGTGAGAGAAACAATGCAACAAATACAATCATGTTTCAACATGCCAACGTGTACATCACAGCTACTGTGTCCAATTTTATTTTTATATTTTGTTGCATTTCTTATAAAAAAAAAAAAAAAAAAAAAAAAAAAAAAGACGAATCTATTTTGGTCTACAATAGGCAAATTAACACAACAACAAAACTATGAACAACTGATCGAGTGACAAAAACACACAGATGCATTTTCACAAGCACCCCTGCAATGAGAAGAGAAACTAGAAAATCTAAGAGACAAAACTGTAGCAATCTAGCCCAACAGCAGGAACCCCACACACATAGAAAACTTAAATTATCTTCACCCTTCTTTGGTTTGTGAACACAAACATTGTCTAGTAAATTTTTTCTTTTTTTTTTCTCTCTCTCTCCATTTAACCTCTTCTGATTAGCATGGCCCCCGTGTTACAAATTTACTGCCACCAGCAGCCCCTTTGGGAACATTAAATCTAAGTCTGCATGTCAGTTATGGCAGGAACATGCTGGCTGAGACAGTGACCAACACTGTGGTGAAGAAGAAGAAGAAGTAGAAGTAGAAGAGTCTCGACTTATTTATTTTCAGTTTGACATCTCTGCACTATATAAAAAAAAGAGAGCTACCGTGTTAGCATAGTGCATGTTGTCTATAGGACCAGGCCACACAAGCATAAGCTGCAGTGAGAGCTTATGAGGCTTGTGATCTTGTGGTGAAATTTCAAAAAAGAGCAAAAACTAAATTGAACTGAAATGGATCTATTTGAGGGAAATATAAATTCTAAATAAACTTTGATGCGATGGGAGTTGTTTGCTACTACATAACAAATACCCAACAGATCTTGAAAAGGATGAAGCGCTGGAAATCCTTCTTAATGTTAGGTTAGTAAAAAGTGTGGAAAATGACTGCCAGATTAGGAGTTGGAATGCTCTGGACTTCAACAGGAATGATTTTTTTTTTGTTGTACTACCGCACACTTTTTTAAAAACTAATCGTCTCAATGAGCAGGACTATGCAGAAGAAGAGAGTGCAGGACTCAAAGAGGCTCGATGTTTAGTCTTCAGAGCCCGAGTCTCTTAACAATTGTGATAAAAAAGAATGACACAGAGGGACTGTTATTAGGGGACATTCAAAACATAGTTTGTGCTCCATCAAAAACAAAGTCCCCTTTTGCAGGAGGAGGCTGTGTAGACAAGACTGCATGCTTCATGTGGACTGATGGGTTCCTGATAAAGACGGTTAACTGTAAGAACTGCACGATCGGAGAAAGAAATATATAAATCCAGTATGTGGTATAAGCTTAGCTTTGCTGTGTCATATTTAAAAAATCTGAACAGCTGCTTATGTGTGTTTGTGTGTGTATGCGTGTGTGTAAAGCTCAAAAATCAAAACAGGGTCTGCATGTTTGACTTACGATCTGAACAGATGCTGTTTGTATGTGACGGTCGGATGACAGGGACTAGCTATATCACATTGCCTATAATAGTAATGCTTCATTTGAACTTTAAATGCATATGAAACTAAGCCTTCAAAATGTGTACTCTTTTAATCATAGCTGTTTTCTCCTATTTACTTGAAAACTATGTTTTATGGAGGATTTAAAGATTCAAAATAAAGGCAATCACTTGCTTTTGGTGCGACATATGTTTCGTCTTAATATATTATGTTTATATAATAGGTTTTACAGAAGCTGCTAAATGTTTTATTGTTCCATTTTCAGCTTTGTTCTCTCATCAAATTTAACAATAGGGGTATAATTTAAAAAGTGTCTTTTTTTACCCCTAAATTTGGCACAGTAACTAGGCTGGGGAAGGTTAGAGAGAAAACTGTGGTAATTAGTCCACAGGGGACTGAATAATCAGCCATCTCAAAACCTTTTATCTCACAGCCACTAATCCTGAAACTTGATTATTGTTTTGGATTCTACTCTACTATCACTTAGTTTTGTTTTCCTGTGGTAACCCAAACACTCAAAGACGTAAAAATACTTTGCGTGTAGCCAAACTTTTAATTTTATAATCTCAATCAGCTTCCATGTTATTATAAAAATCTACTGTCTGTCTAACACTGAATGACTAATGTCTTTTTTTAAGGTTGCTTGTTGCTTGCCCTTTACCATTCGAAACTCAACATAAGCATAAAGTTAAACAGATAAGATAAAACTTAAATGATCGCTGAGAGGAAATTGGGCAGAGCCTGCTATCAAGGTCAGAGTGAACATGATGTACTTTGTAAGGAACCATTAAAGCAGATGCCAGTTCCTGCAGAGATTTTATTGTTTTTTTTACAGCACAGTACAGTGGAGAAAACCACTGACATGTTCATAGATGTAATGGATTTTACTCTATGTGGGAATATAGGGAGTATGTTTTAGCAAAAGCTAAAAAAACAACCCAAATATCCGATCATTGAGGCAGGTTAAATGTGGCTCCCTCTGCTGTTCACTACGTGCAACTGCCCTTGTTCCCAAAAGACATACAGTACATCATATGGCTTGTTGGTAAATGGCAGAAAATGGCATGTTTAAAATTTGCCATTCAATAATATAACAGAGCAACCTGAAAGAAAGAAAAGTGGCATAATCAATTTTTTAAAAATGTCCTATTTTATTCTAGGTACAATCTAAAATGACTACATCTATTAGTATATTTCATTTAGACTGTAAAATGTGACTGTATTTTATATCTTTGAATCCTCCGAGCTGTATAGATGTAAGGTAAAAAATAAAACTCGCAGATGTAGCATTTACTGTATATGAATAGAAAATTTCAGGTATTTTAAAGGGTTCTCTTAGGATGCACTCACAACCAGCAGGTCTTAGCAGTAGTAGTAGTAGTAGTAGTATAAATAGTTTATTTATAATAGACCATTGTGTATATACTGTATCTGTGCAATGTAGGAGAGAAAAACTATGAATATTCTGTATAGTTGCTGTATGTACTGATAGGCACTTGATAGGCATATTCCCTATATCCCACAAGGTTCTGTATACTCTAGCTGCAATTATGTATTTATCAAACTATCTGAGCATGTAATCTTCATCTGTGTGGAGGTGGTGATAGTTAAATATATATAGTATATTTGTAAGATATTTCACTCTTATGTGTACTGTAGAAGGCCAAAGATGCAGTAAAGTATTATCTGACTGGTGTTTTCTGTATTCTACTCTTTACTTTGTGACTTTCTTCAAGCTTTAAATAAAAAAATCTGACTTTGAATGTGTGGAGATAGACTGAAAGACAAACAGGAAGACAGACGCATGCTTATCAGAATAAAATGAACCTGTTCCTCACTCGACATGACCCTCACCAATACTATTTGACCATTTCCATGTTTTCATCTCAATGCAAAGCGTATAAGCATATATAGTACAATGTGAAATATGACTCGATTACTGACTATCCTTTATCCAGTTGCGTGAAGCTATGTATGTATGTATGTATGTATAAACAACAGCACTATGATCACCATAACAAAAAGCAGGAGGAAGCCTGAAATAAAGAAGTATAACGATGAATTAAACATACTGCAAGAAGGACAACAATGTACTGTAGACCCTGTGTCTCTACACTAAGATAAACAAAACATGAACAGTAATATATTTGAAACACAATACAAACAGCTGCAGGCTCAAGGCTATTATCTACGTTTCAATATGTTTTGTTCTGGAAAATATGCAAACACTTTGCAAACATAAAGTCTAGACTTTTATTCTCTTAAACTAACAACTAGAAGAAGCACGATTGAGAGAAGGACTCATATTCTGGATAATGTTGCAACTTTTCAACAAGTTTGAAACCGATTTTCTGCAACACTGAGAGAGAAAAGAGAATTAAGCACCACCACGATTAGCTGAAGCAGTATAAGGAATATATAACTATGGACAGTGAAGAGCATGTGATGCCGATGCAACGGGGGGGAAGAAGAAGCTTGGGTATGCTAAAGCACGTAAATGACACACTGGAGAGAAGGTTTCTTCCCTCTTCTGAGCCTGGTCTGCTATCAAACACCTTATGATACAAGAAGTCAACTGACAATGGGACGAGTTATTAGCCCTCATCCAGATAACGTTGAGATTGGCTACCTTTGTTAATCCAAACAGAAAAATAAAAATAAAATAAATAAACAGACCGAGAAATGACTGATAGTGTAATTGAAATCAAATTTTTCAAAGAACCAACATCGAGCTACTTAACCTACTATTTAGACCAATGATACCACAAAGCTGGTTGTACTCATCTAGCTACAGTCAATAGTGCATTTGATATATGTGTTTACACAAAATATGTAAAATTTAGGTGCCATGAAGGAATGCTAGATCATTGAATACAAACATTACACTGAAACAACTCAGTTAACGTGCCTGCCTCTGCTTTCAAAGAAGTGATGATGTTAGATTGGCAGTGTTTAACTCGGTACTGAACAGACAACAAACACCAACACCATGAGCTGTGTGCCGTACGTGTGGCAGTACTGTTGGAAAAGAGATCTCGGCAGTTGCTTACATATTCTATTTAGTGCATTGTCTATTAAGGCATGAGATTACCCTCCACGTGCTGTGTAGAGACAAATATAGCACTAGCATGCAGCAATATTGCCATCCTGGCAACAACAGCTACAAACAGGAACCATACACTTTAGGCTTATATGCACACCATAGGACACAGGCCCAATCAAATGTTTAATAATGTGCTACTTTTACTGCGGACAAACTTGACGCTTTCACGCACGTGATCCGTGTTTTCTTCTTTAGCTGCGGAGAAACCGAAACACAGACCTCCCTTCAGCTAACTCAACAAGGATCCGTAATTTAGTAGCAGTTTAAAGAAATTTAAGCATCCAAATGTCGAACATAATTCCTTCAAAGCGGTGCACTGCAAGCAACAGTGTCAACCCCGGCTCGAGTCAAATCTCAGAACAACGTCACAGGTGCCTTATTAGCCCGAAAGGTTTGGAGAGCTGCTTCTCATAGTACCTGTGTTGCATATTGCGAAGGAAGCCCTACAGTTCAGATATTCCACTTATCAACAGCTTGATTAGGCTATATACCAAACACACACAAACACTCACTGACGCACAAACACTAAGGAAGGGACACAACTGTGTACAACTGACAGACAGATATCAAAGAAGCTGCATTCCATCACCTCCCCACACCTTTAAACCCACACAAAGTTGTTCTAGGACACACATGTCATTTATTTTACACACACACACACATACACACACACACACTATAAATGTAATATTAATCGTATAGTAATAGTTATTATTAGATCCTCCGCCTGACGGAGCTGTGTTTATTATTACTGTTGTTGTTTCACTGTTAATGTTGTTTGGCTTGGATGTTCTTGTTTGTTTCTAACGAAATGCAACTGAACAACTTTTATAGGGAGCTGACTCCATAAAAGAATGAATTTTAAAGTTTTAAAACATAGATGAGCACACATAATGGTACACTTTTAAATAAAAATAAATGCTTGCATTAACACGGCACAAGAATATACTGTAGGTAACTGCAAGCAATAACAAAAGCCAAGAACCGCTGATTTACTTAATGAATAAATTGAAACAAGGCTATTCTATTACATGTGAACTCTACAACCAAATGTTAGATTTAAAAAAAATCTTTTCTAAAACTATAATATCTCTGTTAACAGTAGTGCACTTATTGGTTTAAGCAGTGCAACATATATGCAAGAAAATAATGCAGTCCACTTATCAAGATTTTAAAAAATGTTTTTTTTCCTTTGAAATTGAATAACAGAAAATCATAGAAGTTCATTTAAGGAAAATGATTAAATATTAAGCACAGGCATTTTAAGAAAATGTGCAAAATAGCACTTTGTTTTTTTTTGTTTTTTTTGTATTTTTTTTTTACTTACAGCAGGTCTTTTGAAGACCGCTGTATGCAGTTATTCTTTTAATGATACAACTACGAAAGTTTTTGCTCACTTTCATGAACAAATCCTTCAGGATTGCAGTTGCAGGCAGTTGTGTATGTATATGTGTGTGTGTTTGTATCTGTGTGTGTGTGTGAGTAGGTGTGTGTATGCATTTTTGTATGTGTGTGTGCATGTGTGTGTCCTATTTTGAGTAGAAAGCAATTACAAAAAAATTTAGATATCAGAAATAAGCCTTAAGTGATGTGATGTGTGGATGACAACTTGCGCACACTAGCTTCCAAAGTCTATTCTGTACATGCTGTTTCTGGGTTGTTTTTAGAAAAATCAGGAATGTATACTGTTGTGTTGAAAGTCCATCTGAACGTGTGGTACATCAGGAAACCGTGTAAATTCGATGTAGCTACTGGTTTCGCTTTGAAGCGGTATTTTCCTGGACAGTGTTGCATGACATTTGAGCCTTCGGAGCGAGCACATGGCGAAGAATGTGTTCAGGCTCCTGCACGCTCAGAAAGCTGCGCAACACAACTGAGGGCTCAAGGATAATCACCTTTTCTATTTTCCCCAATTAAATAAGAATTTAACCCCTCCCTCTAAAACACTCTTCCGGCCTGCTGTCTCCCCCCCAACCCCGGCCCAAACCCCACCCGTCCCACCTCCCCATCACCACCACCACCAGGTTCTGTTATTTGATTATCAATTTGATGTTGGCTACTCTTTAACAACAATATCAGTGACAAATCCTTTTTTTAATCTACATCCCATAACAGTCAGGTGCAAGTTGAAGAGCAGCAATAATGAAGGAGAGAGTTTAGTCGCATATGCCAGCCTGCCATAACTGTGAGAATGTGAAAGGCTTCTTTTAGATTAAAAAAAAGAAAAAAAAATCGGCAAAAGAATCTTTCTTTTTTTCTCATGTTTTGAAATGGAAGAGGTCTAAAAGCCTTAACAGTCTGTAAAAATATTAGTGGCAGTGTATGCAAATGAGTTAAACTCCAAACTTCAGAAAAAAAGAAACATGTTTTTGCTCAAATACTGTCTCATCAACACACCCTAATTTAGTAAACTGAAGCATCAAAATGGATGGACAGCGATTACAAAACATATGAGAAACGATCGTCCCTGTCACCACCGACCAGGAGTCACATTTCAGGTAAATGATTGAAATTGGTACCTTGACAACAGCTGCATTATAATCCCTTAATACCATAGGAATAAATAAAACCCACCTTCAAATTAACTACTCTCCTTTTTTTATTTTACAGAAGAAGGCAATCTTGTGACCGTCAGTATTTTTAGAGGGAATATGTAGCCCAACCCCAGATGACTTTTTGTTATTGTTGTAAATTATACCACAGTAAGCTTGGACATCTAAAGTTTCCAAACTGGTCAGTATGGGTTCACAACTGCCATGTTTTATTTGTCATGGCAATGTACACACACACACACACACACACACACACACACACACACACACACACACACACACACACACACACACACACACACACACACACACACACACACACACACACGCACACACACACACGGACATAGAACAGACACAAACACTCCAACATGGATGCACATGTATAATCGTTCAGACAAATCTACACTAAAGGTGTGTTTGTGTGTATGTGTTTCTTTCGTAGGCCTTTCGGTAGTGTTCAACACATAAATCAGTATTTTTAGGAAAGCATACATTTAGAGGCCTGTAGTTAGGATCCATCCAGTAGATCAATATCAAACTACTAAGCCTTAAGGCCACCATCTTTTTTTTCTTTTAGGATAACAGAAAAAAAACCTTTTTTTTTGGGAAACTTAATGTGCCAGTGTCTATACTCATTACTCTTCATACCTCAAAACAAGAAAAGGAAAATCTAGTGCCATTTATTTGTCATTCTTTTTGAAAGAAGTTTATCTATTAGTACTTATCCATCGGAGACATGCATTCGCATGTGGTCATTGAAGTGCTCCATTTGGTCGAACTTGGCAGGGCAGACGGAGCACACGTAGGTGGTCCCTTCTTGGCAGCTCGCTTCTGCGGCTACACCCACTCCTGTTCCAACCCCGGCCCCTACTCCAGCACCTCCGCTCACCGGCATGGCGAGGGCCACCACACCGGCTCCGGGCTCGGGGACGGCCATCGGCATGGGAATGGAGACGGGGCCCGGGGTGCCGGCGCTCCCAGACAGCCCTGTGATGGCGCTTCCCGTGCTGTGCAGGGCCATATGGCGCTCCAGCAGGGTCTTGTGTGAGAACTTCTTCTTGCAGATGTAGCACTCATAGGACTTCTCTCCACGGTGCAGCCGCATGTGGACGTTGAGAGAGCTCTTCTGGGTGAAGCGCTTGTTGCAGATGCTGCACTGGTAGGCCCGCACCCCTGTGTGTGTCACCATGTGTTTGATTAAGTAATCCTTCAGGGAGAATGAGCGCCAGCAGATGCTGCACTGATGAGGCTTCTCACCTGGATGTTCATGCAAGACAAAAGTATTAAAAGAGGAAGAGGAGACACATTTTGAGAATTGGGTTTACAAGATATAGAAGAACGTGTGCAGCAGCATTAGACGCCTGAAGCCAGCAGTGTTACTTTTCTAGTACAGGAACAAACCTCAGGCAAGAATTATTTAAGCCTGTATTAACTCTGTGATGATGTTCGTTCCACTAGAAGCTACAATATGCTACAGCTTTGTGAGGAAAACTCGGCTATAGTGTAGCTCTGATGCAACTCTTACAAAACCGTAACAAAACTGCAAAATTCAGATTTAATGAATGTTTTAGGCTGCTACAATGACACAGGTGAGGAGAGACAAAACAGGCGCAATCCAGAAGAATCACATATAAAATAACGTATCCATCTCTTCTGTTAGGCTTCTGTTACTATGTAGGATATGAGCTCATTCAACATATCTACCTCTGCTGACATTGTGAGCCTGAAAGTTTAACATGTTTATGAAAACCACATCAAACTACAGCAAGGAGAAAGACTGACAAATCAGCTAATAGAAAAGCTGTATTATACAAGACAATGAAGTCCTGATTTCTGCTGCAGTGAGTGGATAATGTGCAGCTACCTGCTTTGATTAAATGAAGCCAACAATTTATACTTGTACTTTCTTTTTCACTTGACCTGCTCCAAAGAAAGATCAGCGCTCAGGGTCAGTGAAAGACCAGCAGGGTATGAGGTGGCACATACGCAGTATATTTCAGTCATATTTGAAGTTCAGTGACTCTTTTATCTCTGATAGATTTTTGATTGAAGCCTGTGACATTTTAACCCCGCTGCACATGTGTGGCATGAAATGGTATTGATGTGTTCATCGTCTTTGCTATTTTGAGGTGTGGATTATGCAAATTTATTAGGAAGGAATATTTTTTTTTATGCTACGATTTCATTTCTCAACCTCGTGTTGCACTGGGGTGTAGAGTGGAGACACATTTTGAAAAGTATCTAACGATCTAAAATATCACTTAATGTACTTTTTGTAGCAACTGAAAGACAATTTCAGAGACGCTACTTTACTATTCTGCTTAAAAATCGTTTATTTCTTATCTTGGAGTTTGACACGTTTTTAACTGGACTGAGTAGAGAGAACTGTCATTCTTTGCATTGATATGCTTCAATCTCAACCTCGAGACTAATGGATCAGTGACTAAGACTATCACTGTCCAGCTCCTTAAAATGTTGTGAAACTAACACAGGAAATTTGGTTTGATCGACTTCCCAGGTGTTTGCAGCCATGGACTTGTAATGAATAATAATGGTTATATGAGTAGGCAGTTTTTATTTTTATCTAATTATGTGGTATCTAATTCTCTCTGTGGTTATGATTTCTGCAATTCATGATTGATAATTCCGTCTGTGCAGAGAGAAGAAAGCTGTGCACGGTGTTACAAATGTACTACATTTGAAATATACTCAAGATATGAATCCTGACAAAGATAGAAATGAATTGTAGCCTATTGATTATGATTAAAATCCAAAAATGTAACAAAAACAGTTGAGGTGTGATAAAGTAGCTATCAAACGGTGATACATGTGTGTGTTTGTGATAAAGTGTATGTTTTGTCTTTTCATATCACAACATTTTAGCCTTTGAGAAATCAGATCCTTTAATTCCCACCTGCTGCTCCCTCATCAAAACTATCTTTGATGTATATCTACTAATCTAAGTCTAGCAGCTGCCTTCTGTACTTCAGCTATGCATCGTATAACCATTTTACTGAGCATGCTTATATTAAAAAAATAAAAATAAAAAAGCTGATGACAAATAAGTCACTCCAACTTACCAGTGTGGACAAACATGTGTTTGACGTAGTTCTGTTTAGCAGTAAAGGTTTTACTGCAGAGAGTGCATTCATAGGGCTTTTTCTCCCCTGGACCAATCCCTCCTGCAGCCTGTTGCTGCTGAGCTGGTGGTTGCTGTACCGACATGGGGTTGGGAAACGATGACATTGTAGGGGGCGGCACTGCAACAAACTGGGGCTGCTGCTGGCCGGGAAGGTAAAGGAAAGGCTTGGTGTCTCTAGCCGTCTGTGTGGGAAAGAGTGTGGGCAGGAAGGAGCTTCCAGCAGTGCCCATCACTTGGGGGTTGCTGGTCATGGAGATCGGCATCCTCAGGTTGCTGGTGTGTGATTCTGTCTGGCGCATGTAGTGCTGGGCACTGGGCAGGGACTGGGACATGACCGAGTTTGGCAGGGACTGCATCATGCTACTGTCACTAGTGCTGTGGGATGTGTCCCCGTCCTCTGCGTCTTGCTCTGGGGAAGAGTCGTTGACCTCTATGTGCACCGGGCCTCCTCCTTCACCGTGCTGCCCCTCCCCGCCCCCGTCTCGGCCAAAGCCCATCAGGAACGGCTGCTGTTCCATTGCATCTGGCTCAGTGCTGATGGAGGAGCTCACCCCTGAGTCAAAACTTTCCACCTTGGACTCGCTCTCCACACCCTCGGTATGGTCGGTCTCTTCTTGGCAGTCCCCTAAATTATCATAGCAGCTGTACTCGTCTTCAGCCTCCTGCTTTATGTGCATCCCTCCTGTCTGTATGCGTGACGGCCGAGGTTGCTTGCGGCAGTGAGTGGACTCTGCTGTGGAGATGAAGCGGTCGACTTGTTGAGATCTCTCCTGGATGCGGTTCATCCAGGGCGGATCTTGAGATTGCTGGTCCTTCTGAGTGCCGAGTGATGCGTCGTAGTTTGACGTTAGAGGGTTAATGTACAGGGGGCGCTCACGAGTGCCGTTCTGTAGCGAGAGGCCAGGGTAAGAGTACAGTGATGTGTATGCACGATCCATGCTCTGTTGTGATGTTGCTTGCATATAACCTGACTCCGCGTCGCTGCTGGGCCCAGAGGTGCCTGATTCAGGTGTGCCGCGGGGGGTTTCCTGTCCAGAGTCTCCTGGTATGACAGGGAACCCCCCCGGGCCAGCAAGGCCCACATTCTGGGACACGATTCGGGTGCACTCATCAATGACGGTCTTGATCTGTAGGATGCTGGCAGCAGTGAGGATCTGCAGGGCCTCTGACTGAGATACCCGCAGGATCCCACTGTACATAAAGTCTATCAGCTTTTGGATGGATTGCACCGAGACCACAGAAGGGATCTCAATGTCGCTGTAGCCCAAGAGCAGCTTGTCTTGAAAAAAGGGGCTTCCAGCAGCCAGCACGCAGCGGTGAGCACGCAGCATACTTCCATGGATCCGAACAGTCACGTCACAGAAGTGCCCACGGTTGCGTTGCTCATTGAGGGTCTCAAGTACAGAATTGCTGAAGTTGTGAAGATTGATGTTATGAATGCGCTCGGTCATCCCCTTGCAACTGATGTCACCTGTAACCAGGAAGCAACAACCTGACTTAGAACCCACACAGTCACTACTTTATTTATTAATATTGATTTAGCTCACCAAGGCGTGTAAAATCTGGCATTTTATTACAACAATCGTTGTGGGGTGTATATTTCTTTTAACATAGAACTGGAAAATATTTCTATTGCTGGTAACAGTATAACTTATATAATGGAAGTAATAAAAACTGTGAATTTCAATTTAATAATGCAGTTATGAGCACTACATCCCCAAAAAGATCTCCTATAAGCAAGGAAATTGCCTTTCGCCTTTTATTGGAAAACAGAACTGTGTCCCAGAACAACAATCAACCTAAATACATGATAAGTAAGAGTGATGAGTATTAGACAGGCATAAGAGACTTGATTAAAGGACTCTAAAAACAATAATACAAATATATTAATTTTTTTTTTACTGTTTTCTTCTGCCCAGTCTCAAATTATTTGGAAGAGAATCAACTAATTTCAATGCTGGAGCTAAATGTGTCTCCTGATCCTGTTTTAAAAATCCCACATTGCCATGGTGAAAGACAATTAAAATGGTTCCCTCCTAATTATTACTGTACAAGTTCCCCCTCTTACATCGTGCGCTTCTGGAGTCCCTCCACCCACCAGTAGGTGGTGCACTGGGCTTGGAGGACAACAGGCCTCTTTTGTTGGCCATGTGTTCACTTTGATGGCGCTTCCTAACTATCCTTGGATTGGATGTGACCCGGCTGATCAGTGCATAAGATTACTTTGTCTGCTTTTCTTCCAAGTGAGGCCTCCAAATAATTTTAAATCTACATACAAAATAGATGGGTGGTTAGTGTAGGAATTATGCAAATTGAGAGTTTTAACAATTACTGTAGAACTAATTTCTTATGAATTTAAACCATCTTGAGAACAATTTAAGGGAAGCTGTTGATTATTATTAATCACAGCACTTTAGAGCCTTTATTTGGATTCCAGAAACATTACAAATCCTGGAAAAAAATACAGAATTTTCCTACACCATGTCTGACAATGACTGAAGATATTTAAGATATGAAAACATCATGACGTTTAAATATAAGTTTTAACAAACAGCTGTACTTTTTCACATTTAAAACAATGAAAAAGGGGCCTTGTTACATGGAATGCTGTATTTAAATAAACTGAACAGCAGTCCCGGAAATAAAACCACACCACAGTTACAGATTTGTGAAGCAGGATAAAGCTAAAGTAAAGCACAGCGATCGTGTTAGCACAAAGTATTATTTTCAGCTTTCAGTACTCACAGTTAGATGACGTTTTGTTCCGAAGTTGCTTGTGTGGCTGGTGATGAAGTGCGGGTCAAGCTTCAGTTTGCTGGTGGAGATGGCTGATCAGAGGCCGGGTGCTAGGCAAGGCTGTCAGTCCTCTCTGTCCAAATCATGTGCTGCTCTGCCACAGTGCTTACAGGGAGAGAGGAGGGACAAAGACAAAATTTTAATGCCTGCATTAAAGACGAAAAAACAAAAACATTCAACACTGTTTCTGTGTTTTCTCCTCCCTGTAAGAGGTTTGCCTCACACCCTGTTTCTCCATGTCAAAACCAGACAGTTCTCATGTAGCAACTGACTTACTCTGATGAGGCAGCTACAAGTACTCCTGCAGCAAACCAATCATCTATTAGAAACACTTTTGCCACACATATTTGCACCTAGAACGCTACGATGCACGTGTTTTATTAGGAATTGATTACTGACTCTTCACCTCCAGTCTGACGCAAGTTTCCTGCAGGAGTCCAGAGATAAGGGGAACTTGTAGTAAAGGCGTGGGTGGAACTGCTAACTGTCTGATGCACCAAAACAGTTTATAATAGGTTTATGTCTATGAAGGAGTAAAAAAAGCATAGCAGTATACACTTCAAGACTTATGGTGAGGGAGATCATTGAACTCTGTAAGCTCACACCCTCATTTGCAAATGTGTTGAATAAATGCCACGAAGATAAATCCTGTTGTTGTTCCCTTTGTTTAATGCGGAAATTGCCACTACAATTCCACTTACTGACCCTTCTGTGTCGCCAGCCCCTTAATGAACCCTGAGCCACAGTTAACATGAATATCTTTCACTAACACGTTGCAACAGATGTGTTTAAGAGTTCTCAAAGCATGACGAATGGACGTTCCTGTGCGCACATGACCACCAATTACGAGACAGAGAATGATGTTGGCATTAGAGACAGTTTCTCTATGAGGAGTTATCTGATCAGAAGAGCACCGAAACCACACCCTTCTAAAGAAAGACGATCGAAATTCCTCTTAAATTTCTGCATGATTTGTAAGAGGTGTCAATCAAATTCAACACAAAGCATGGGTGTGTGCATGAGTGTGTGAAAATGTGTGTATTCCTGTTTTTTATTTTAAAAAAAATGCACAATTTAAACAAAACAATATCCAGACAGCGAGCAAGGACAGTAGAAGTTGCAATAATAGAAAAGAGTAAAATTTTAAACACACAAGGCTTTCATTGAAAAACACAAGAAAGGCATTCAACAACGTGAGGCATGTGATGAGCTGCTTTGATGACGCTAGGAAAGCCTTTCTCGAGAGGCCTTATACAGAACACACACAATATTATGGCCAAGTTTGACATTAAAAAATGAAAACAAAATGATTTAGATGTCGACTATGTCTGATACAGACTTCGTTGCTAACAGTTAAGGTCAGGAAGAATGTAAAACATGCATTTAATCAATGGGAAATGCCCTCACAATGTCTCTCTTATAAATCCCACAGAGGCTAAAGTCCTCTGAAATCTTTAACCATTAGAGCTCAAAAGTAAAAACTCGTATGATTCAAAAAGAGTATGGATCACAGTAACAAGAGTAAAGTGACAATCTTACAGTTAAAATGTTAAGCAGCTGACACACTGACTGCAACATGCACACCTTGTACTCTCAGTGAAAACCAGTAAGTGCTGTGCTCCTGAACGAAGCTTGGATTTGACCAGACCTGCACGTTAATGTTGACACATGTCATTCTTTTATAAATCGAGTGTTTCGCAGAACACGCCTCCTGCTTTGTGACACGGAGGTAAAATCTACAGATGGGAACAATATGATTTTAAGCACGTGACCTCTCTATTTTTTCCACAGACTCTGGTGGAAGAAGAAGGACCATCTGCTGGTCCGTGGAAAACGATAAATATTAGACTGTAAATATGCCTCTAAAAATGTTGTGTGTATAATTTAGCACAAGGAAGCAGAATATCTGCAAGAGAAGCAGAGTCAGGGGGTTAAATTGCAATCACAGAACTCTACGTCCATAGGCTTTACTTTTGAGAAGTGCAGCGGGCGAGGAGACGTGTGTTTGCTCTTTTGAAATGCCCTCGTCAACCAACAAATTTGACTATTCGATAAAGACAAGTAATAACATGTTTAGCAGCAGAGAGGGTGATCACTTGATATTGCGGCGGATCATTCTTTGGCACTCACACACACACACACTCACAGTCCCGGTGAGGGTGGAGAAATTTGGTTTAGAAAAAAAAAAAATCATAAATCTAAAATCAGTCTTCGACCTTTTTCGTAAACCTCAGCAGCCTCCTATGATTCCCTGAGAATAACTCCTTTAGAGCTCCTTTTAGTGTATAACTTTCCTATAGAGCTCAGTCGAGGCCAAACTGGAGCCTTTTCTATAGCTTATCCTGACTACAAAATCTTACCAGAACCAAATGTATTTCTCTAAGCTTTGTAATGTTTGGAAAACATTTAAGCAACAGTTTTTAGTCAAAGTAAGTAAAGTTAAAACAAAAGGAATAATTTTAAAGCCCTTTCTTCTATCTACTGCAGAAGCACATTTGCCAAAATGCTTGAATCCATTACAGTGGCAAATATTCGGCCTTTTTTTTTTCTTTCCTAGCTTAAGATGTTACTGTATTCTGATGCCATGGGCCTCCTTTAGACAGCACATACATGTTCCTTCTCTGTCTTCCCCCTTGCCCAACCAGACATGTAAATCCACCTGCCCGAGGGGTAAAGTGAGGTGAATGCTGGCAACAAAGGAGCAGGCCAAGGGAAGCAGGCTTCAGTTGCCCAGACTGCCACTCACAACAGTGATTCCATTTTAGCCGTGACACAGTGGGTGAGCAGCAGCCAGTGCCTACCTGCAGTGAATTCTAATCAGCCCAGGGGTCTGTCTCCCTCCCTCCCTCCCCTCCCTCCCTCCTGTACCCTGCCTTGGACTAAAGGGGCTGATGATCCTTCAAAATTAATTAGATCCTTGTAGGAGGCGGCCATTTTCTTTCGCTTCCAAATGCTCCACCAGAAAAAAAAAAAAAAAAAAAATTTCTGAATTAAACCAAACTCAGGGTGTGTGTTTCCCCCCGTATTGATCTCCTTCTTTCTGCATCTCTACCTGTTTCCTATTTCATCAGACTCTCTCCTTGTCTTTTCTTCAATCTGTCTGTCTCACTACTGTCTGTGTGTCTGTAACCCCCCTCTCCTCCCCTCCCTCTCCTTTTCCTCCCTCCCTCCTACCCTCCTTACAAACCTTCCCCAGCACCTCCCCCGCCCCTCTCCGGCTGCCTCCCTCCATGCTCCCAGCTCTGTGTCTGCCTCTGTGGAGTTTGCTGTCAATAAATCCCCAGAGGTCAGTTTGTCTGCTGGAAATCAGACACAATGCTTCAGACCGCCAATGCAATGCATGCTCTGCTGCTGCTGCCGCCACAACAAAGACTGAGGAGGGGTAGGAGGGTGGGGGGAGAGAGGGAAGGGGAGGAGAAGGAGGAGTAGGAGGAGTAAAGGGGGGGCAAAATAAAATTAAGACAGAGGGAGACGAGAGGAGGGTTGCAACTTCACCAGCCAGACTCCAGGTTAATCAGCCGCCTATATTAGGTGACAAGGCCGGTGGAACGCTGCATCGAATTGGACATTAGTTAATCAAGAGGGGGGGGGGGGGGGGGTAAATGTGAGGATGGGGGAGGGGGTTGAGAGCAGACATAAGAGGCGTGCTTATGAAAGGAGCAGTATCAGCAATGTGAATAATATACATCTTGAATATGCAAATAGTGCTTACAACGCACACACTACAAGCATATATTTAGGGCCCCGCTACATTTAAATGTGGAGACAAAAGGGCCACGGGGCATTGTGAAAAGCTCGTCCATGCATGCGCACACAACATCTCCATGAATCTGCTCCACATTTGCACTTATCAAGTGTTTTTTTTTTTTTTTTTTTTTTTTTTGTTACACCTAATTAATAGTAATTTATGAGTTTGTTTAAAAGCTTTAACAATCACTGTCCAGCGTTGTAATTATTAATTTCAATCATCCCTTTAGAAGCAAACGCATTAGCATATAAACTAGCAGAAATTATGCTTTAATAGTATGGTTCGGATATGGGATTTAATGTAATTTAGTACACAATGTAAATGTGAAGCGAGCACACTGGGGAGTTTCAAGCGTAAATCAAGTGTTGATCTGATGTGTGATAACTGAGGGTGTGTTTCATTTCACTCCTCTGACAAAACACACACACACACACACACACACACACACAGTTCATACCTCAAACTTTGATGAAAAGGGAAAAATATCAAATTAAACCTCATTTGAAGCGTTTTGTCCTGGTTTCCTTCGATCAGTGCGATGAAAAATTAACGTTTTGTGACTCTCAGTGTAGTCTGAATTTAAATTGGAGTAATTTAAAGCCTTATCTTTTATAACATTGGAGCGTTCGTCTATAACGTCGTGCAGTAGTTAACAGGTGTGCTAACAAATGCACCTAAATCTCACACACTTCGGAACAAGCGGCTGAAAACACCTCGCAGACTCAAGATTTAATTGATTTGTCTTTATGGCAGTCCCTGAAAATCATCAACAAGCAAACGTAGGCTGTTGACAAGTTGTGCCAAGATTTTCACACACATTTTTTTCCCATTTTTTCCTTCTCCCTACACTGGAAATGTACAGTGTAATATAACATCACCAAAGAAATCATTCTCATATTGGTGTGGTAAATACAACGCCGATGAACTACATTTGATCTGAGTGTTTTTTTCTGACAATAACGACATCAAACGTTTTCCTGAACTTTGAACTGGCTCTTCACCTCAAGCGCAGACGTGGGACTGGTGATTCTTCCTTCACAGCTACAGTTTCGATCTCAAGCTCCCCACAAGAGACTGCTGAAAATCGTGCAAACACTAAGATAAGGTGTTTCTTTAATTCACAAAAACACCCTTTTTCTCTGCTGTGAATCCTCTCATACTCGCTCAAAGCATGGCGGAGTCAAAAAAGAGAACTTGTGCCACGATTTCCGTGTCCTCTAAATTAAGATGACTTGAATAACTGTATAACGTTCATGCATTTCTTTGCCTCACAGTCCAGCTGGCACTATTATTAACCTTTTAAAGTCTCCTAAATCTAATCTAAGTGTTCATGTTTAGTTTCTCTGCCTCTGAAACGTCTCAGATATCACAGCAGATCGACGTGATAAGACATTCAGTCCAACAGAAAGCCATTCCAATGTGACAGGATGTGCGGCTTTCAAATAAATTCCTCAAGCAAACAAATAACAGCACACACTACAATACCATTACACAAGTAAAGGACAGTTCAAAGTCTTTTTTTTGACAGGACAGCTTGTTCAACTTCGTCATTTTCTGTCAAAAACACACCCACCACCACCACCCGTTATCCTGAGCAGACTCTTTGTCCTTTTACAGATGGGAGGATAAGCTACTTCTAATATACTTTTTTTCAGGCAAAGTCCAAACAAACAGTCATGGATTGGTGCTATCACACTGTATTTTATGGAGTTTCCAAAAAAGCATTGAGGGCGAAATACAAACAGCCATTGTGGGCCTGCAGCCATTAAATTTATAAAGCCAGTATCTCACTTTGGCAAATGGAAGGGACGCTTTCAAGAAATGTCTGAGTTTTGGCAAATGGCTGCGGTTTTTGTTAATGAGCGTTTGACCGAAAAGAACCATCTGACTACTCATGTGATAGTCTCCAAAATCACCTCTAACCCCCGAAGCAGATAATTCTGAATTCAAGAGAGATCATTTAGGCACAAGTGTCCACAGCAACTGCCTCTCCACAGATACTACACATGTCAAGGACATTTCGCCTCTCCAAAATTCGACCTGGCGGGCCATTAAGAGATCTTCATGAACCTACATAGATGCTCGTATAGGACTCCTCTGTCTATTAGCAGTGTATCATGATAAAGAGCCAGCTAATTGAATCTGTTTGGCATAATATAAAACACATTGTACATCGCCGTCTGGATGATGTTTAGTACAAGCAGGCACAATCTCAACAAGTGGACTGTGTGGTATAGAGGAGGCTACAGCACCTTTATATCTCTGACAGAAAACAAAGTGTCTCCTGATTTTATGTCCTTGGGAGATAAAGCAGAACAAAGATGCTTTGTGCTGAGTTATGAGACGATAGTGTGGGACCTTTGCTAAAAGCACGTAGGTCTTATTTCTGTGGAGAACAGCACAGACTCTGAATATGTTTAGGTTAGATGATACTATGTTTGTCACTAGAGAGACCAAACAGAGGAAAGCCATACACATATAGTATTTAGCAGCAACTCAGCAAACAAGTGTTCACAATAGCTGTAAAGCTGACACTTATAGAACTGTAGGACAGATATTCTCACCCTCACACAGACACACAACAGCATAGGACCTCAAATAGGTGAGCAACTGTCTGGTGGTTGTGATATACTTGAAAAGTCATGTATTGATTATGTGGTGCAAACTGAAAACTATATAAAGATAACTGTTACATTTAAGGTTTTCACTTCCACTTTTCAGTTTTGAATTTTACACTATGACTTGTCACATCGCACACTTGATTATCAGATAAAAATCATATCATTGGCTAAACTCTGAACCACACACTTCAAGATCAGGGTTGTGCATTTACATGGGGATATGATATGCATCATGTAACGGCTGATACAACTCAATAAATTGCAGTATAAGAATTTAATTTGAGAAAAACTGGAACAATACACAAATTTATCTATCAGTAAAAATATCTTTGCATTTATTCTAGGTAGTGTTTGAGAGAAAACACACACATTTAACTGGTCGATACTGTCAGATTACTAAAGTGTATCAATATTTTTACACACTTTTCCTCCTGATCAGCCTCAGACTCTCTGTGCACCATGTGTTCCCCCAGCAGCAGCACGAGGACGTCCAGCAGCACAGGGCTGAACTTTCACTAATGCACGAGGCTGATTTAAGCAGTCCAGCACATTTCTGCACTTTCTCTTGAGCTGCCGTGTGCTCCAAGGGTCAGCAAAGGTAGCCTCTCTGCTCTCTTACTACCTGGACGGCTCAACTCTCCCCCCCCTTTCCTAAGAGGCTCTGCAAGTGTGCAAAAATGACACGCTGTCAAAATATTAACGTGCTTCTCGTTAACAGCACGGAAAGAAAGGTTTAATGATGTCACAGATTTCTGCAGCTTGTAGCTACGGCAACAACAACACGCTCGTGTAATCAGGGTAAGATAAAACTGAGTCGTCGCTAAGGTAAACTAACAATATCTTCAACCTTGTGTGCATTTAATTATGTGGTTTAGTTTATAATGGACTCTGATACATAATCCTGCTGTCTAAATAAAAATATTCAATGTTTATTTTCAGCCTTATGGTTGTTAGCACTTTTAAATATATTTATAGTTTGGCAAGTTGTTGTGTTGTAAATACAGATTATATATGTCTCATCAGCTCGTTTGACATATGACCCTTCTAAAAGTGTAATGCTGACACACTGAAACACTGCCGTCCACAAGAGTGCCCTATACACACTCTCCACAAGTGTTAGCGCCTCTGGTCCACTGGTCTGCAGGCTAGCTGAGCAATACCAGTCAAGATAAAATGGCCAAAAATACACACACACACACACACACGGTCCAGTTTAAAAGCACACACAAAGGTAAGCTTTTTGTTAATCCAACAGAGAGGGGGGGTTACAATCTCACATGAGGAAACTTCATCCATACAATTCTGTGTTGCAAGACAAACCTGTTAAGCAAGCCAAGTACAGAATTTCACAAGAAAAGAGAAAAAGGGCCAAAAAAAGAACTTCAGGTTTTCGCCTATTTAAGATTGTGTCAGTGACATTCCTGAGGAGACCAGAAAAAAGAGAGAAATCCAGATATTTGGGAATGTGAGCTGTTTGAAATGTGTTCAAGAGTAAAGGAAAGGTACAGATACAGTCCCCTGAAATAAAGAGATTCAAAGACAACAATGAGGTCAGTAATCTATAGAGCATATCAGCTAACATGAGGCGTTTATAACAGCTCGGGTCATTTTACAAAACTACCAAATATATCCAAAGAATGCTGCAAGACACACACTGATACTCAGATATACATCTTTGGAGAGAACTGAACTTCTACTACCTCAACAACCAAAGACAAGAAAGGAGCGCATAGGAAGTTATAATAATACATGCTATTACTGAATTTGCTATTGTTGGTATGATGCTGTGCATTAACTCACACTTGTACGTGTGCAATGATTATAAATGGTCAGTAAAGGTAAAGTACACCAGATAAAGATATTTGTACATGCTTGTGCATGTGGACGTTTGAGAATCTCTGACATCTAATGGACCTTCTCTGTGTGCTGGTGGGTGTAGCATGACACCGTCTGTCCTCCTCATAATATGAAGTCAAGGCTGTATGAGGAAGCTGGAATAAGGGCAAAGAGACCTGTGTTTAATTTGAACATACAGTGTCTTCACTTGATTAGAGATATGACTGAAGGTGTTGACACACTTATTACCTTGACAGTGCATATATATAAGAGTTAAAGTTTGTCGTCTCTTCTGGATCTGCCGGTGTGTACAAGGAAATAAGAGAGAAGCTTGAGGTGTGGACCGAAATTGTGAAATAAGGTGTGATAATATATTAATACTGATCGATATACCAATTCAATTACCAATAATTTCTATGTTTAACGAAGACTACAAAGCAAAAGTTGAGCCTGTATTTTCATCTTTAATACAGACTGAGTTTATATAATCTTTTTTTTTTTTTTTTAATTGAAATAGGATTCAGGATTATCTAAGTGGTGTATGCACATGTTTTAGGACTGAACACTGTTAATCAATTGACTGATTGTAGTAATTACTGTTGTTATAGTCTGGTGTTTGTTTTCTGGGTGAAACTCTTTGTGCTGTTGTCTCGGCCAGGACTCTCCCGTAAAAGGGATCGGAATAATCCTGGGAATTTAAGTGAAACATTCATAACATATTAATTTATGAAATATACCCATAGAGTGTTCTTGTGTACATTTTTATTTTTTATTTAATGAGTTAAAAAGGGTTCAGTTATATAACTGTCAGATCTTATTTTAGTTGTGTAAGTAGATATGTATGTAACTGACTGTATCAAATGTGTTAATGATATCTTATAATATGAGCTGGTAATGAATGTAAACTTCTCATATGCCCCAAAACTGAATTTAATCGAGAGCCTATCGAGGCATACTTGACTTTTCATTAATGCCACCAGCTGAAGCTTCATATGAGCCGCATAGTCAATACCATGTCAGTCAAAATGTCCAATATTTGCATCATAAAACAGTATGCAAGTGTGAGCTTCACAGAGTGCAAAAATTAAACCAATATTCTCTAAAGGTCTGGGCTTTTTTAAAATATGATTTCAATATAAGAACATCCTCCTCTAATTGGCTTCCATTCTCAGGAGTGACTGCAGGTAGAAACTATGCTGCAGCAACCAGTTTTTGTGGTCTGACTAGTTTCATAGCATGTAATGAGTATCCTTCATGTAAAAACATGTTATCACTGACCACATACTATACACTTTATTACTACTACCTGCCCCACTATTTCATTTTTCCTCTCATGAATGTAGGTGTAGTTTTAGTCTGACTTCAATATTCAATTCTGTGCAAACAGGAGAGTAACTACAGAATCACAAAGCTGCTAAATATCCCGCCCAGACTTCAGCTCTGGTTAAAATAATAATCTGGCCTTTTAGCCTTTTGCTAATGCTCATAAATTGCTGGTCAGTGTGGATGGTTTGAATGTAGCGAATTATTTTCTTTGATGGCAATAATCTATAGCTCATAAGCTCTAGATTGTAACCTAATCCCCTCAGCTGCTTCTGGTAATATCACTGTAAAAATCATGCCACATGTATTTTCAAGTAGAGCCTTTATCAAATGTGTTACTTCCAGCCTCGTTTTACAGTCGCACAGAGTGAGACTGTGAAAGAGGAAGGTTTGTGCTTCATTTCAACTCAAAAATGTTTCAACCATCTTTGTTCAACAGGCTGTTTCATTGTAAACAAAAATGTTATACCGTTTAATGACTAGCTCCTGTTAACTGTATGAGTGTCTCTTTGTTTGCCCATGTGCCCAGGGTGGTGCCCTGCTTTCCTCTCAATACATGTTGGCACACACCTAACTGACCATGAACTGCATTAAAGAAAATATTGACAGAAAGAACAAATGTGAAGACACCAGCCTGTGTTAGTGGATCTGAAACACATTCATCAAACGTGACCTGTTCATAAGAGAAGTTGAAACAGAAACGCTGTTAGTTAAGGTAAGAAAACTGACATGAGGTATTTTACCATAAATTCTTTAACAGGTGGAAAAATAAACACAGAGCCATGTCTGGAAGAACTGAAGAGGATCACTTTAACGTCTCACTCTGACACGTGGACTGATTCTGATCTGGAAATGTAACACAGGCACTGTAAACAGGAGTTGATGCTTTTTGGGTGAGCACACTGTTTTCAACAATAAATGTCATAGTAATCGTCAGACAGGCCCAGCTACTTTAATAAAAAGTGGGAATTTGTATGCAGTTGAACAGGTTACCCATGCTTTTCCTTTGTCACATGGACCAACTGTCGTAAACTAGACCCAAAGAAGATAAAACATCCATTTCTTCACTGATATAACAATGAGCTGCTAGGCAAATTAATAATGATTTCCAGTGTCTTGAAGGAGTCTATTTTGAAATCTGTCTTTATCAAGGTCAGTTTTGGGGCAATAAACAATGCCGACAGTTTCAGAGCAAATATTCCTTTCATTTCCACAATAAAAATAAAAATTTGAAAAGAGAAATTCTTTGTAGAAGAATTTCTTTCAAAACACGAGAATGCCTGACAGTGATTTCCAGGAGATTATTTTTTAAAAACAACAACTGACTCACATGATAAAAAGGAAAATAAAAATAAAGTTTTAGATTCTTTGGAAAAACTTCAAGGTCTGAACAAACATTCATTTTGTGATGAAACCACGACAAAAATACTATTGTGTAAATAATTCCCTCTAAGTTTACTCTCTGCTCAGTGCATACCGATGTACCTTGAGTAAGACTGCGCACAGGCCTAACATTTTGGCTGCTGTGAGTGCTGTTTACTGGCAGGAGGCTTAAAAACTCTTCCTGAAGCCAGGATAGAAGCAGAGAAAACATCGCACTCATTCTCTGTAAAAGAGTTTCAAAAGTTACAGAACACTGTTAGTTTATTTTGATTTTCTTAAACCCTCTTTAGATAGTTTCCCCCTTCAGTGAGGGAGTGATCTCACCATGACTTGTAGAAAACCATATGAGCGGCGGGGTGAACTGAGGACACACATGCACCTTGGCAAACATACAACTTCGCTATTAGAATCCAGGATACATTTTTCACATCAGTTGAATGCCTGGGCCTGCCGTGTGTGTTTAGAGAGGGATACAAATTCAGTTTAAACACTTCTCCATGTCTTTTAAGACAAAATAAAGGAATCCAGTGTACTTAACTTCAACAAGTTGCAGGTTTTATGTAAACTTTTACTTGTGGAACTTTCTGTAAAGACTGTAATGCTGCCTCTGGGTCAGATGTTACATGATATCTGGGTCTTAAAGTTTCACAAAAGGCAAACTTCAAAAGAGAAACTGTAAAACCAGCCCTGTACCATAAAGAAATATGAATGAGGAGTCTGTTTGCCATTTCAGCAAAGCTACTGGAAACTCAAGTGCTTGTACTGTATTTATCTATCATCAACTAAAGTACACATGAATAAAAAATTAAAACAACCGGTGGTTAGATTTAGTGGATTTGACTTATTTTGTCAGGACAGATCATGATCATAATAAAATGCTTTAAGCAGTGTATCAACAACAGTGTACAGCGTCAATAAACTCTTGTACGTGTGGAAATACACACACACAACATGCTTATCCTGGGGCGTGTGTGTGTGATAAATGCTCGGTATTGGACCGTCTATTTATATTTCAATAAAATTCTGAAAATTATACTCGGTAAACTTGTGTCAATGTAGCCTTTATGATGAAGCTATCTGGGATTGAATAAATTAATTATTTTTTAGGATGGCGATCCATTTTTCATTAAATAAAAGCTTCGTGACAACAGCATGGCACATTCACAATTACTTATCCAGTCTCAATGTGTGCTTTCATTACGCATTCCTGTAATACTTGCAGGGAGGGGAGATTCCAAAACAAGTCCTCTTAAAGCTGAAAAACATACTTTTAAAGTTTTCACTCGGTCACTTTTCCACGTCTCCAAATCTTTGAGTAAAATTCTGTGTAATAAAGTCATATTTCATGACCATTCTGCTGTATTCTGCTGCCAATTTACAGAAAAAGAGGGCAGTATTTAAAAAATTCCTGCTCAATGAATTGAAAAATTGAGCCAGTCTGCACAAATGAGAAGAAAAGCTGTTGTGGAAGTCTTTGTTAAGCATTACGAATGCATAATATTCATCTGACTGGTTGCAACATTATAGCATTTTTTTGTATCCACACTAAATGATCAGCTCTTTTATAAACAGGCTACATTTTTCCTTTCCTCTCACAAGGCATATTACTTTCTATCCATGTCTTATAGCTGGAGGGAAATCACCATAACTCATCATTACAGCATTTATATGTTGAATAATGCAGCTCAAGGGGAAATTTCCTCCTTAATTACAAAGGAAACTTGTACGTATCCTTAATAGGTCCTACAATTGTGTTATTGGTATTTTCAAGACTTAAAAAAATAATAACGCATCATGTGAAGAGAAGCATGTTATGTGTGAAAAAGGTGCTTTGTGGGAAGAAGGATGGAAGCCAGTTTGCCAGGAGGCAGCTAGCCTGCCAATTATTTCTTTTTGGAAGAAAAAAAAAAAAAAAAAAAAAAAAAAAAAGGGTGTAGGCAAAAAATTCACCAAGGTGGCAACTACTCCTTTATTTCATTATTTTTCACAAGATGAATGTGAATGATTTAAGTAAAAGTATAAATATAATATCTTTAATTTCATATGAGGTGAAACTTCTGTTAAGATTTAGAGGTACATATTTAAGGTTGCCATGGTAACTGGGGACTCAAATGCAGTATTCAATGTGCAATTGCTGTAAAACAGCAGCGTATTCAATAAATCAGGTGAGAAACTTTGTGAGTCTTCTTTTACAAAAACAAATCTTTAAGCTCAAAGTCCATTAAAGGCTTTGAGGGCATTCTATTGTTAATTACCTGACTTAGCATTAAGTTTAACATTTACACTAGACTGCTGCCTCAGTAGGAATTCACATCAAAGGTTACTTTTGGTCCATAAGGTACTATACATGTAAATACAGAAACTGCAAATACAAATAAAAAAAATAAATAAATGAAAAAAAGAGGAAAAAGAGGGGAAAGTATAAACAGCGTGTGAGACAAAAAGGCCAAACAGTTAACAAGCAGTTTGACATTCTGGATGCAATCCACAAAGTGGCTCGTTATATCGATGGATCTCTACTGCACTCCCAAAATGGCTGCCAAATATGTTCAACTGGGGTAGAAAAAGTGCTGGGACAGACTCAAGTGCATTTTTTTTACAGTTGTTTGACAAACGACAGAAAAATAGCCCATGTGGAATTAAAAAACGTCAATATCTTATTTTTCGTCATTGGGGTGGATCCACAAGTGTTGCATGCTAAAATGTGTGTAAATGTGTCTCTGTACTGCATGTGCATGCTTAAATCTGCAACCAAATTTACCTGCTCACTTACTTTCACTGTAGATTAAAATATTTTTCACTTTTTGATAGAAAATGTCAAATTAAAGTAACAGTGTATTATTCAGGCTAATACTAAATGCTCTTTCTAACTTCTCCCATCCTTTTCACTACACTGCACTGTCCAATAAACCACAAAAGGCTCAAAATCTTTTCAAAAGAGTTCTGTTGGAACAACACAATGAAGGTATATTTATAAATTTAATAATGTAGGTTATAGGCCACCAGGATGACCTGGTAAAAGCCTGGTGAAGATGGCAGGATGGTGTGGGAATAACAACAACCAGAAAAGTGGCGTTGCGGAGGCTTCACAGAGATCTCTCTATCTTGCCTATTTGGGCAGCAGAGCCTTTGCTGTGCTTAAAAAATTATTTGGAAAACTGACCCGCCATCTGTGTGCATGTACTGTACAAGATGATTGTTTTTTTTTTCTGTGTTGCATGTCCCTTCCAAAGAGGCACTCATTACATTAGTACAGCATGGTATCCTTACACTTTTACCCAAATAATCAGGTGGGAGAAATGTGAGAAAGAGTGACTAAACCAGCTGGAAAACATTTAAAAATTAAAGCCTATGAACACATCATGACAGTTTGGTGGTCAATAATAAATTACTGAGTGTGAATGGGGGCAAGCTACAGAGGACAAGTGAAGGATGGTGAAGCCAAAGAAAATTGGGATTGATTGCTGAGTGTGGATTAAGAGAGCACCTCACACCCCCCCTCAGCCTCCATCTGAGAAGGTCTGCAGTTTATCTGCTGGTCTCCTTCATATAATAATGAGTTCCTTGGTCTGCAGACATGCTCTTAAATATTCATTAGTCATGGGTGGGTTTTAGCCGTGACACAGAAGGCGGGCAAATGGCGATGGCTGGAACACAGTGAATATTAATGTACATGTGGAATATATTCATATAAATTCTCATTAACAGAGATGAAACTGGGCACCTGATACTCTGCACTACAAACACTCCCATGGCACATAATGGCTGTCTCTCTCTCAGCAGCTCCTGTACACCTCTATGCTGATAAAACGAGAGTTTTTGACATCAAGCCGTGCTGAGAGCTCACTCACACACAAGACAAGTACCCTCCAATTCATCTGACAATAAAATATCCAAAAATACAGGTATTAAACTGGTGTGGAGTTTCTTTTCACATGAAGGGCATTCCATCCAGGCTTTGTGACAACATCATTTACACTTTGCTCACCCACATGCAGCCTGTCAATCAACATGCTCCAATTCATAGCACACATTTATGATCATGCACAGCTGAAATCAAAGAGAAACGTTGCATTTGTGCTACAGCGCTCAGCTCAGCTCTGTGTTCTCCAAATGTGTCCATTCAGAAAACAAATCATCCAGTGCAGCCGCCAATTACATAACCGAGCCTATAGGATCGCAGCGCATTTACGTTGTGGAAACATACTCTGAATGAAGGCGGAGGAGGTGGAGAGGAAGTGATCACAACAGAAGTGTAAAAGGATGAATGCATTATTATGTGGTAAAAAAAAATCTACACATACGATCACACACACGCGCACAGGTGCACATCCACAGACCGTTTGTGCGCCGGACGCAGCGCTGCGCTCTCATGCAGCCTCCTCTGTGCCAAACCTCGGACCGGCCTTCTTGTTTGTGTCTCCTCGCGGACCAGCTACAACCTCTGACATGACAAATGTGTTGACGCACAGCTCTATACCTGCGAAAAACTTCTGGCTACAGGAGAGAGTGTGGTCAATAACGTGGACGTGCTGTTTTTAAAGAGAAAAAACTATCAGTGGTGCGTCTTCTGGCCACGAGAACACGATGTATTCCTCTCTTTATCTGACAAAGCCAAGCGCTTTGGGACAGCATCTGTTTGCCACACACACACATACACACACATACACGCACGCACGCACGCTCTCTCCCTCTCTGTCTCTGTCCCTTTCTCAGTCCGTCACACACGCTCATGCACGCGCGGAGGGACAAATGAAGCCCTAAAGAACAAGACTGACATGTTGCTCCGGCTCAACTCCCTGTGGCCCTCAAGAGAGAGGATTTCGGAAATGCATTGCTCCGTTTATATTTATCTGAGCTAAAGTTGTGCACAAAAACCTATTTTTTAAACTTTATCCAACAAACGAAGTACATCTGCACTGCCATTTGATAAACAGAAGCGAAGGAATCACGAGTTGCCCATGAATATTTTGCAACAAAACGTCTCAGAAGGCACGTAGGAAGCGTCTCTTGCAACTTTAATTTCACCAGAGCATGGCCCCATATCTAGGCCAGGCTTTGCCAAAAAAACATCCTCCATATCGCAAACATTTCCACATACACACACACACTCAACTACGACTCAAAGCGGATTGCGACGATTTAAAGTGATCATTCATTTTTGGAGAAACATGGCACCAAAAAAAAAAAAAAAAAAATCCAGAGCTGAGTCCCACTGGATCTGGTTCTGATTTCTTTTTTAGAAACTGAGCCTGCTGTATTGTTTTACCCCTCATACATAATATCAAGGAGCATGCCCGGGCGTAATGTTACCAATCTCCGAAATGCCACGCCGTATTGATATTAATTCATAAAAAATGTAGGCGAGACATCTGTCTGAGTATAAGCGCTGCTGTGTGAGCCGCTGCTGTAGCCAAATGGTGAATTTCAGACATCGAAACCATGTACCCGGCAAGTTCAACAAACTGAAGCGCATTTCAGAAATGACTGTTTTTACAAAGAGTGTGTGGTTGTGGTTAATTTCAACGAGGAAACGCGTTTCCTCTGATTCAAATAACTGACCTAAAAGCCAAATGCGCACGTCGGCTGCCACAGTTGTTCCGGGCTCACAGTGTGTAAAATGTGAAGCAGGAGCCTGCGAGCATCGCTGACTGAGAGAGAAACAGATCTGTGAGTTACACACTTTGACCACAGCATTGTTCTCAAGTGTCCCCTGGCCGGCTCACGGGCAAATCCGAAAGTAAAGGGCTAAAGGTAAAAGGGGGCATGTTGAGAATAATGACAGATGGGAAACTTGCGTCATGGCAGGGGCAGGCAGCGCGTTTTTGTAACCGAATTGATGGACAACAAAAACCTCTGGCAGCCCAAAACCTGAGCCCCTCAAACATGAGGGACATTTCATCTGGTACGCTGTCGTCACATTTATTCAATGTCTGAGAGAGAACGAAGTTTGCGATTATGTAGAGCTGAAAATTTGGTGGATAAAGCCTGCCACAACTACATGGAAGTCAGAGGTATTTCATGCATAACAGGCTAAAGTCACCGCGCATGTTTCCATCTCTCACACCTGAAATTTCTCATATTTCTCGGCTGTAATATCAGCGTTATAGATTATAGTAAAGACCCATCCCTTTTCCTACTTTTCTCAATTTCTTACCTGCACTTCGAAGCTTGTCAAAAAGTGGCCGACAGCGTTTCCACGGCTCCCCCTATTTTCCCCCGACGAAGCGCGTACAGTTTAATTTTTTTAATATGTTCCTTTACTTTGTTTCATTTCTCACTTCCATCTTCTTTTCATCTCATCAATAAACACACGCTGCAGCCTACCTTCATAGAGCAGCTCGGTTCAAGTGTGCCCTCCCATTTTTTAACTATACATCGAGTACTTTGAGGGGTGGTAGTGGTGGAGGGGGGGCCAAGCAGGCACGCCTTTTCACTTAAAGCTGCTATTGGAAGAACCGGGCACTGTCTTGGGTTGGATCAGAAATCCGTCAACATTATGGTGCCCCAATCGCAGGGCGCACGGTGGGGCGGTGAAGCCGGCTCCATTATGGCTCTGTGGAAGTGGTGGGAGTTATAGTAATAGTAGTTGTTGTAGTAGTAGTGTTCCTCCTCCTACTCGAGGTGTTAAAGTTTGTTCCAGGCTGAGCAGCAACACAGCAATTTCACAAAAAGAGAGGCAGTCATGGTGCGTAACGAAACCTTGGTGAGGATGAGGTTTAAAGCAGGTTCACTGTGATGTTGCACCCCCCAGCAGGAACGTTCATCTCAGCTATAAAGCCGACATTTTTATTCACATCACATCTCTGATTATCACTGTGCGGGCTCAAGTGTCGGCTGCTCAGAATATCAGCGTTCACAATTGTGAATGAACTCACATTTATCCCCCAGTCTGGATCAAAAGGACGGGGGAATTGTCAGTTATGTGTCCATCATGCGTCTGAACTTTGCATTGGACGCCTCCTCTGCCAGTACAGAGAGCCAGCTGCGCCGCGCTCTCTCATTGGACAGCGGCGCCGTCAATCAAGCGCGGCACCAACAAGCTAGATTGTCTGCCGTGTCTTCTACTTTCTACGCATTTCTATTTTCTCATTTATTTATTTTTTAACGTCCCGAGCTGACCTCGAGTTAGCGAGCGGGGGAAAAAAATTCGTGTCGGTTCAGCCGGCCAATCAGATTTAGAAGAGCGATGGCTTTTTCCTCTTGTTGTTGTTGATTTTTTTGTCATTATACAGCGCCTTGAGATATTTTCTGGCTGGCATAGAATAAAGCAGTAATGGGTCATGTGGGAGCCCCCCGCGCCCACCGCCTTAATGCCCCCTCCCTGTCTAGACAGTGACAGGTGTGCGTGTGTGCGTACACGCGTGTCTGTAGTTCAGAATAATGAAGCACGAGGAGGGCAGTGTCTAATAGATACTTCAATATATTATTCATGTGTAGTATTGGAGCTGCGGGTTACTCAGTGCAAGCTGCTCTCTATCTTGAAAGACAGGCTTTGACTGACAAAGAGGTCAACTAAGGTTACGCTCGAGCAGCCCGCCTGATAGACCGTCCTGCCTCGCGAGCTGCTGCACGCGCCTACGGGGTGTGAAAAGCTCACTTTTTTAAAACCAAACAACAAAAAAACTAAACCAAAAAGCTGCTCTCTTGAACTTTGCTTCTCTACAGATGTACAGGAGAGGCAGAGGTGTCGCTTCAAACAATCGCCATCGCTCTCTCTCTCTCTCTCTACACACGGATATTGTTGTGTGAGCTCCGTGGTGAGCACCCAGGGCACTCAGTTGACTGTGCGCGCCATCTGCAGGACTGCGATGAGGATTAATACCGCGGGTTCAACGGAGGACACCCTTCCGTCACTGCTTTGACCTACATTAACCAGGAACACCAGAGGAACACCGCCACCGGCCTTAATGCGCCGCTCTGCCATCCGACAATGAAGTCCGCTTCCAAAGTGCTTTTAATATTCATTAGAGATCTGAATTATGTCATTTAAAGATCCCAAACTGACCCTGCGTATCTCCGTGCGTATGGTGCCCGTCTTCCCGGAACAGCATTTGAGATACTTCGCTTGATTAACGTGGCTCAAACCGGCAGCAGCAGCAGCAGCAGCACGTGCACGGAGGATTCAAGGCAGGGTACACTTTGTTTCAGGGCAGACACTGAGAGAGCTTTATCATTTTTTTATTTCTCAGGAATAACCTCAAATGCCAGCACGTTTCGCTATCATGGGTGGAAAAAGCGAATTTAAATTTGGCCTTATTTATGGAGGGGTACTTTTTGCTGGAAAAGGCCTCACACAGAAGATGTTTTGTGAATATGTTTAAAGCCTGTGGTAACACGTGCTTTCACTGTATTTTTAGTGTTACAATAGAAAATGCAGAAAATAGCTCCAAATTTGATGAATTGTGCAACACCAAAAATGCATTTTTTAAAAATTATTTATTATTTTTTTGCAAATTTGACTAAATTTGACTAAAAATACATTTATGCTTTTATGTAGCTTCATATTTAGGAAAATCTACAATAATAGATATTCAAAGTCTCATGTAATTAGAAAAAAAAGCCTTGCTTAAGGATTGTGAGCAGACACTAGTCTGTGACACAAAGTCTTATTTTCAAAATGCTTAAACAGAATTCAAACAAAGCTATTTACTGTTTTCTAGGGTTTAATAAATGACATTTTTTAAAATTATAATGTAGTAATATTTCTAGTAGTGCAACAGATACTGTCTTACTTAATGTGCAATTATGAATTTAAGAAAAATAGCATTTCCACAGAGGCAGGCAACCAAGGGATATTAAACCTCATGGACACTGAACAAAAACAAAAGAGCGTCTGGATTTTATTATGATTTTTTAAAAATTTATTTCCAAAGTTTAAAAGAACAAGTTGTATTTAAGTATTATTAAACTGGATATAAACATAAGTTTTTGATATGTATATACAGTATATTTGCTGAATTTTGTGTTACCTGACATTGACTGACAGAAAGAAATGTGTACATAGCTGTTATTGGTATTGTTCATGACTGATTCTCACCATCTGCACTGCAATTGTAATGCCCACTGAAAAACAAAGCTGCTGACTTTAAATAAAAACTGACAACGTTGGTTTCAATAACATTAAATTGCCCTTTTGCTACTCGTGCCATCACATGGAAAATACAGACTTGTAACCTGTAGTGTATGATTAATATTTCCCAAGTTAACTGAATTATTACCACAGCTGCAATGTCATGTAAGATTAAACAGGAAAATGCCGTTTGAAACTGGCAAGTCCAGTCCTGTGTCAATCAGCCTTCAATGTCACCAACAGAGGGCAGCAGTAAGACTTCCCTGGATGTACTTTTATTAATTAATTTATTTGTTCATTCATTCATTATTCCGATCCATTTTTACAAGCCAGCTTTGGCTTGAGATTTACCTTCATCTGAAATCAATCTCTGTAGATCATGAGGAGTTATAGTAGCTACTGTATAATTAGATGATAATGTGGGTTTCAACCACAGTCCTCATGGGCTAAAATATCATATTTTTACTCTAAACTAACAGCGATGGGAGCTTGCTGCCCCTGCGTTTGGAGCTAAAAGCTAGACATGGCCATCTATCACCTCAAAGTAATCTCACTGATATATAAACCCTTACAGCTTCTGTATAAACTACAGGGTTATTGTACAGAAGTGCAAGATGAGTCCCAATCCATGTCCAGGCCGTGTCCTTTTGTAACTTGTTCTGTTGTAATAGATTGTGTTTGGTGAATGGCCCACAGGCTTTTCATTTTACAGACAGTCTAGACAGCTCATTACAGGTTGGATGTGCAAACTAGTTTAGGGCAGGTGGAATTAGTTTTTATATTTGATTTGCAGTGCAATTACAATGTTATTTATGACGATAATATAAAATCCTCTGATGAACATAGCTTTTCTCGAGATCATTTCAGGTCTTCCTCAGTGACACAAAAAATACTCCTTCAAGCTCTGAAGGTGTCAAAGACAAAACAAGCACGTTCAGCTTCTGTTAGCTTCAGCACCAAAACGGGTGATAAAAACACAAAATTTAGACAGCATGGGAATTAAATAACACACCAGACTGCTGAAAATAAGACAACTTTATATGTCTGCCATCCACAAGTTAATAAAAGCAATTTCTCCTTTGGTCACAAGTTAAGTTGCAGTACGGTAACTTTTCCAAGAACAGTGAAGACTCAGATGGTCTACGTGTGAGGCAGTGTTGTGTGCCTGCTGATTCTCCTTAGCGTTTAGCATGCTTTACCAAAAACAGGCCTCTCCGTGCATGTAAAAACAGCCAGCAAGCACACACCAAACTCCTGCTATCTTCCAACAACTTGAACACAGGCCGTTATTGTTCTTTCTGGAGGAATTCAGAAAAGATTTGTTTACCTTTTACAGTACAAAGCTGCGAATTCCTCTTAACTATCCGGGCGAGAACAAAGTGAGACACACCTTGATACTCGGCCCGAGTTTATCACTTAATTGGTGATGACTCGATGTCAAACACATCCAAATATAAACACAAGCGAGCTGTAACAACAGTGCCATCTACTTCCTCATACTTTGCCTTTCACATAGTTTCAGCTTTAAAGAAACACCAACAGCAGAGACGACTTCTTTGTCTCATCCTTTGTAACGTTTTATGTTTTTGGGACATAAAATAAATGACCATTAAAGTTAAAATATCTAACAAGCTCCACAGAGCTGGAAACATTTTTTTAAATGCACATTAAGTTTGTGACGCAGAGAGCTCCTCACCTCTCATCTTCAAACTATCTGCAGGCAGATAGTTGACAAGTACAGACAATAAAACTGCTTTGTTAGTGTTTCTCTCTTTTTTGGGCTATTTGGTCTTTGGTCTTAATTTGTCAGTTATTGGGCTGAAAATAACTTTACTTTGTGGCTCTGTGGTATGTGTGTGACAACATAAGTATTACATGTTTCACTGAAACTGGAAAGAAATGATCACAGAGGAGCGAGCTGTGACAGAAAACAGGCTTCTTCACATGCTGACAACTTTTTTTTTTCCTCTTGGTTCGGTTCTTCTTTTTTTTTACCCTGGTGTTATTGGAGACTGCAGAAACTGTAAAAACTGCACTTATTTTTTCAGGTCGTGTTACATGTGTGAGGTGAAAGAAACACTGAGGCTTGTGTGTTTTGCAGAAAAGAAGCACCAACTGTTCCCTGAGTCAGACGCAATTTAGGGTGAAGGATTTGAGAGAAAGACAAAAAGGAAGAATCAAAATCTGTAAAATCAGAAGCATGTTTGTCAGGTTTAGCTCATCGCTAGTTTGATATACCCTCACACTGGAGCGCTGCAACCTTCTGACAGAACAACTAAAGCAGGGAATCATTTGTTTACTCAAATAAACACAGCGAGGGTGCTGTGCTACACAATGCTGTGTGACAAGATTTACATGTTTGTGAAGAGCTGAAGCGACAACAGATGCTGCACAACACTTACAGTAAAGATGAATGTACTTGATTAAGCCTACTTACATATTTTTGAATAATTTGAACGTAATGTTTTACTACTACTGAGATTCAACAGCAGTGACGTCTTTTGAAAATCTCTAATAGAGACAACAATAGCCAACTACAACCCTGCCTCGTTCTTGTCCCTTTTAGAGAGACAGTTGAGGTAACATAAATGAGTTATCTCTGTGCTGTTTTTTCGGGGACACGGTCCAAGTGGTATAAATGATTAATCTGCTTCTTCAGCTCACAAGGGCTCCTGTCTGTGTCAGCCTTGTAGCTGAAATATAAGAATAACATGCCAGGTCTCCACAGATTTTTCCTCATCTCACCTCTCTTTGCCACGTGCAACAAAAGCTTTTATGTCAAAAACTACCTCTCAAACCTGATTGCAGTTTTGATCTGAGTCTTTGCTG